GTAAAATGAAATTTTAGCCTGATCATTTGGATACGATTCAATTTAAAATCTTATGTTTCTGAGTAGTGTTTCTCTAATTGTAAGATTTAAAACACTTTGTAACTAATTCAAATATTAATAAGTTTTAAAATGCTATATAAAAATTTAAATATATCAACCTTTCAGATATTTTTATTATACAAAGTTTGATCAAAAAGTATCAAAATTGGTGCTATAAAAAGTAGACTACAACATATACCAATTAATCTCCTCTGAAGCCACACACTTTATCCAGTGTAATTTCCATTGATGGAAACATTCCTGGAACTCCTTTTTTGGGATAGGAAGCAGCTGCCTCATCACATTATCTTAGATTTCTTTGATGTCTTGAAATTTTGTTCCTTTCAAGTGGGATTTAATTTTTGAAGAGGAGAATGTTGCAAGAGATGATATCTGGGGAATATGGTGGTTGTCAAACCTGGGGAATGTTGTGTTGACCAAAAACTGCTGCACACTGATGGAACCTCTGTGGTGTGATGAGACAACCACACTCTCCACACTTTCCTTCCAAGCACTGCTATAAACAACAGAAGTGAGAGAGAATGTTATAATTTAGTGTGTATGCGTTTGCAGAGTTTAAGGTCATCCTGTGCCATGTGGCTTCACTTTGCATACATTAGCTCCATTACCAAAGCAACAATCCCATTACTTTTTGATCAAACTTCATATTAATTTGTCATGAGAAAATGTAAAAGTTCATAAATCACACAGACTAGGATTCGAGTTCAAATAATTTGTAGAATATTGAATTTTAATTAAAATAGATTATAAAACATTAATATTAATATAAAATATTAAGAGCTGATTTTATTTTTTTCTATCTTTGCTTAATGTAAAACATGTTTTTTGTTGCTTCTTTTTTTTAATTGCCTTTAAAGATTGTTCTTGACTTGATTGTTCTGTGCCTGCCTTTTATGCTGACAGCAAAATGAAAGACAAAACAGAACAAGAATTCATAAAAATGAAAATTATTTTTAAAAATCTGACAAATGATTTTATATAAGGGCTAAAATTTAAGAGATCATATTCATGGTAATTTTCTCCATCATTCTCTCTTGGATACAGTGATTAAAAAGAGTAGCACTCTTTCGGATACAGAGGTAAAAAGGAAAGAAAAGTCTGGAAAATGAGCCATGGTAAGAATAGGGTATTATTAAATAAAGAGTTGAATCGTGCAATTTCCTCAAAAGTAGAAAGATTTATTTTGTAATTCATTTTTGAATAAAATTTCTTCTGTCTTAGTTTTAATTGCTTTTTATTGTAAGTAATGAGATTGAATTTTAAAAAAAAAAAAAAAAAAAAAAAAAAACAATATTTTGACCAAATTTTATTAAAGAAAAAAAAAAACAGAAAAGAGGAAAAATTATTAAAATTAAAATTTAATATATATTTAATTTTTCTAAACACTTAATCTTTTTTTAGATGGCATTCAATATGTATAATATAAAATCAATTAGTTTTTTGAAGAACCAATGAAAAAAAAAAAAAAAAGAATTTGACAAAGCATGTATAAATTTTTAAATGAAGGAACAAAAGAAATAAAAACAAGTTGTTAGAATTTTCAAAAGAAATTGCATACACAACTTTCAGCTCTTTCCTGATAAATCTGGATTATCATTAGTTGTGATTGATTTCTGTTTTTATAGCTTATCGACCCTTTTTTGGGTTATTTAAAGGTGATACATATTTTTTTGGATTATAAAAATAATTCTTTTCTTTTTCTCTGCAAGTGAATATTGCATTAATAATTTTTGGAGAATAACAATGATTTTTTTAGATACAAGTCCTACTATTTACCCATAGCTGGGAGCCATGAATTCATACCTTTCCCAAGGGCATTTGCACATAAATGAATGTAACAAAACATTGGGTGTGAAGTGAAAGTGTATCAGGAACTGAATATCGTAATATATTTTTGATTGTCTTAAGATGGTGACTTTTATATATCCCTTTAAAATATTCTTAACATAAAAGTATGACAATTCAGATCAGAAGAAGAAAAATGAATATTATGTAAATTAAGTAATCTAGACAAAGTGGGTGAAGTCATAAGTGTAGTAATTTTACAAAAAAAAGAAAAAAACAACATTTTTCAATTTTTTTTTAAAGTTGGGAGTCAGATATTACAGGCGGTAAGGAAATTGAACATAGAATAGAATGTGCTAGGAGCAGTTTTGCACAACACTGTAAGTTGCTACAAAACCAAAACATTAACCTCAAAATTTGAGTCATGTCTTAAACAGCCTTTTTAGATAGAGACTTTCATATGGATGCCATGCATGGTGACAAAACTCATTCAGAAATATCTAAACTGTCAGCTGTATACAACCACTTTCTCAGATCAATGATTAAGAATGGCTTCAACTAAATGAAGCCTGTAGGTCTTAGTGAGGATTACTCTTCTTTGAACCTTGTGGACTGGCGTTACAGGATCACAAAGAACTGTACCAAATAACAGAAACTCTATCACCTGAGAAATTTCAACAGCAGCAACAACTAAACTTGATAGTACTTGTAACTCAAAGAGAAAATAATGACATAATCAAGATGTTGACAATAATTAAAACAAAAGGTAAGGAAGGAAACTCCCATCAGTACTAGAAAGAGGTATAATATTTAGTGCACTCGAGAAACCTATTTTTATTTAAAAACTATTTTAAGAGAGATTTTTATAAATTTTAACTGCCAGTAATACTGTTTAGTCAATGAAAGTCGACAGTTTCCTTATAAGGAAACATTAATCTTACCGTTAGCATTGATTAGAACATTTCTTTCTGTTGAAATTTTCAAGAGGAAAGACAAATAAAACATATAAGTAATATTTACATTCAAATTTATTGTCCTCATCTTTATTGTAGTTATCTCATTTTGGCTGATGTGCCATCTGGCCTTTTACACATGTGTCAATCCAGGTAACCTTCAGGGAATTTTGAACAGAACCCTTTATTTAATCTACAGAGGTAAACTGTTCTCATGCCCCAGTTCATTGTTCTTTTCAGTACTGCTCAGTTATTAAATTCCCTGAAAGTTATCCAGATCAACTGACACCTGAAGAAGGGAGAAAGGGCACAAGTGATGAAATGTGATAACAGCAACAAAGATGATGCGATAAGTCAAAAAGTAAATAATGTTAACTCCTCATCCCAGAAATTCAGTCAGAAGAAAAAATAATAGGGTGTACAGCTTTCAAATCATAGAAAAAAAGAAAGGACTTATAACAGAGAGCTCCCACCTCTTAATTTTGGGGAAAAATGAAGCTGGGGGACTAAAGTAATCAAATACAGTAATTAGTATGTTTATTAAGCCAAGCTTAGGACAGCACATGACATAAATGGATAGAAAGATTGTGTAACATCAATTTTCCAAGACGGAATATTCTGTATACCAGTTTAGTTAAAAACTCAAACATAATTAAATATTAGTTGGTATTGTTTGGTTACTTCTTCATTGTGTTTACGTAAATGAGTTTGAAAATTTTATTTTAATAAGACTTTGAATTAAATCCTTTACAAACTGTATAAAAAGAAAAAAATATTCTCATTGATCTTTTATAATAATTTTTAAAAAATAACATAAGATTGTACTGAAAAAACAGTTTGAATTAATTGATTAAGACTAAATAGTATTGTAAACAAATGAAGAGTTAATTTAAGGTTTCAAATAAAAAATAAAGTTTTTCCAAAGTAAAATTAATAAAGTTTGAATTAAAATTTTGGTAAAATGGAACTCAAGATTATTTAAGTTGTTTAAAATCTTGATTATGTGATTATATCTTAATTTTCAGCAAATTGAAAAATTTGCATTCTGTTAATTTTTTTTTTTTGGTTCTTTTTTAATTTTGAATTGCATGATGGGATTGATACAAATTAAAATCATTAACTAAACATTGTCATGTCTTTTTTAATAAAATCTGAGAAAATGGTAGTGCCAGTATAAAAAAAAAACACTAACCAGAAAATAATATAAAAGTTTACTATAGAAAATGTCAAAAGCAGTTATTAAAAGAAATATCTTCTTTTGAAATCAGAAAGGATGACTGTGTTTTGTATTACACATTATCTATTAACATCATTAATAATAAAAATACTAATGATAATAATGCAACTCAATTTATTTTGATATAAAGAATATAAAACAGTATTGAAGGGTTGTTCACCATGTTTGACTATTGATAAATATTGTCACAATCACTCTATATTTCTGATTAAACAAAAATCTATATCACCCCTTCTATATTTTGGGTAAAGTTAAAATCATTCTCAAAATTTCTATACTTATTTTGATAAAAAATATGTGTGTGTGTGTATGTATCATCCTTTTTATATGGGAAAATGCATAAAAATTACATTTTAATCGTTAATTCATATTTTGAACTAATTACAAGATTCAATCAATGGTGTAGAAATTGAACACTGTTCTTATTTTTTACTTCTGAATAATTTAATTAAAGAAGCCAATTTAACTAATTATTATTCAAATTTAATTTCTTTCTAAATAGTGAAATTCACTGCAAACAAATCAGGACATTAGCTTATTTTTATTACGAAAAATAGATACATAAAAATAACCTTACTATTTGACCACGAAAGTTAAAATTAAAAAAAAAAGAAAAATTTTTAAAGAAGAACTAAGAGTTTTTGTTAAAATACTAGTACTACAATTTAAAATATGTCTTCAGACATTGTTTGGTACCCTTACTTGATCTACAATTATCTACAAGTAGATATTCCTGAAGAAATACTAAGAAATCTTGCACATATATTAGTCTATGTTTGTGATGACATTGGGAAACAAAAAATTATTATAACATTATATAAAATTATATATTTTGAAGATATGTTTTTTGTTTTATCTTTTATTTTGGAGGGCACCAAGTTAACTGTTTGGAAAAAAACCTATTAGTGGGTTTTTTATTTTTTATATATATATATATATATATATATATATATATATAAGTTCCTTTAAACTTTTGAGCTGAATTGTGAATTTTTAATAAACATACAGAGAAAAAGAGACAAAAGGAAAAAGAGACAAAAGGAAAAAGAGAAAAGTGGAAAAGAGAAATAGTAAAAGAAAAGAAAAGAAAAGAAAAAGAAAAAAGAAAAAGAGAAAAAAAGGAGAAAAAGAAAGGAAAAACGAAAAAGAGAAAAAAAAGGAGAAAAAGAAAGGAAAAAAGAAAAAGGAAGAAAAAGGAAGAAAAAAGGAAAAAGAAAAAAGAAAAAGGAAAGGAAAAAAGAAAAAGGAAAGGAAAAAAGAAAATACATTAAAAGCTCACTCTGTTAGTAAAATTTTTGAAGAAAAAAAAAGAATAAAAGAAAAAAAAAAGTAATTTTCAAGAAATGAGAGGTTCCAAATCAGAATATACAGATAGAAAACATTTTCCCCCAAATTAATTTGCACCGGAATTCACATGCAAAGCTTAAAGAACAACCACATGCCAAATTTTTTATTATTATTACAAGACAAGAGCAATTGTCATCTTGGCTGAGGGTACAATGTGCCTGATTCTGTCGTCATAGGGATACTGCTTTCACTGATCTGGTTGTTATCTGAAGCATATGTAGCGTTACCTATTGGGGGCCAATCAACCATGTTTTGCAGCTGTTTTTCAATGTTTTTGTACTTTTTCTTCTTGATCTCTTTAAAAAGTAACTTTCTCACATGTGAGATGATATTCAAGTCGACAATTATAAACTGAAAAAGAAAACATTTGATTAGATGTGTTTGATTGAATAATTAAAAAGTAATAATAATAATACTGATGTTGAAATATTTTTGCAAGGATACAAAAAGCTGACATATTAAAAGCAATTCATAACAAAAATATACTATAAACAGTTTGAATCTAAACCCTCAAGTTTAAGAATGTATACAGGTTGTGGACATCTTATGATCATGATTGGTTACAACCAACAGCAATCTCTTTATCTATTTTTAGGTATTATTGTATTTTTTTTATTATTTTTGTGGTTTCTTTAAATTTGGTACCATTTGTATCAGCTATCTACACATTGTTTTGTTTATATTATTTTTATGGCCTCAACAGAACTTTTTTTGGATTTGATCTTCCATCAACATAAGCAGTAATTTCTTCATTTTGCAGATGGGCCTAGTCCATTGCTTTGTTATAATTGTTGTTCACATAGGTACAGAACCTTTCACAGCTTTACAAATTCTTTCTCTGTCCTTCAAAATCACAACTTCAAATCACATTCACTAACTTTCCTCCTGTTTAATCACCATCATTTTTATTACAAAATCAATAGCCTTTATTTCCTTCTCGCCAGGTTGAGGAGTAGACAAAGACAATTTCCTCTTGGCCAACATCTTGGGGGTTTTATGAAGTAAAATTTCAAAGACACAAACGGACTCAGAGGAAAGTGTATTGTACTGAGGATGCCCTAGCACTACTGGGAGCTGGGGCAGAAATTGTTATACACCACATTGGGAAATACTCATACTGGCAGATGTAGAGAAACTCATGGCTAGATATATCTGTTTGTGGTTGTGTTCAAAATATGAGATTAGATTCTTAAACTTCTTACATTCTTAAACATTGGGACAAAATTCCCACATTCTTAAACTTTCGTGGTAAAATTCTCATATTCTTAAATTTGGGGGTAAGATTCGAACTGCTCATTCTAATACACTTTTACAGTAATATATATCTTTTTTGTTATGAACTGTCTTTAATATGTCTGCTTTTATTGCTCTAATAATATTGACATTATTCAAGTTATACATTTATTGGAATGCAAGATATTTTTATCTAATGTATATTAATACAAATAATAGTATTTTTGTGCATTTAAATTCCTATTCTAAAATTAACAGAAACAAAATTTAAATTTGGATGAGTGTAGAATTAAAATCAAAATAAATTTTCTGATAGAGTAATATATATATATATATATATATATATATATATATATATAAAATCAACCATATGTATCAGTTCTAATTTAATGTCTGGCTGCTGTTAGCTGCCAATCTATGGGTCATGATCCATTTATATAAAAAATGATTTTTAATTTTTTCTTAGTTTAAATTTAACATAGGTTATATTTGATTGGTTGATCAGAATAGAGCCCTCAAGCCTTATGACCTTTTTTTCCCCAAAAAGAGGTTGTATTTTGCTTTTAAATACAAATAAATCATTCATTCGCCAGTAATTCACAATTGCCTGATGAGATGCATTGATATGTTTTGAAACACAACTGCAATTGTGTAGCAATTTTATATGTTTTTGGTGTAATATCCTAAAGTATAAATATATATTATATATATATATATAATTATTTATTTAAAAATATGATTCCAATGCTACATAAGAGTTCTCATGTTTCAAAACAAGAGCCGAAAACTTCAATATAATTATTTGAATTAAATTGAATTAAAGTACCAAGGTCTGTTCCATCTTCAAGTGAAATTTTCTTTTTGGAATAACTAATTCCTGAAATTTACGCGTTTTATAAGCATATTCATTATTAAAATTAAAATTACTATGGTAACGGCTAGAGCAATTATTTAAAGAAAAGGGGCGTAAGGGTTAATAATTTGTATCAATATTTCAGTTACATTCACAGACGTCAAGTCAGGGTAAGGTTGGGGTGTCTAAATTCAAAGAGGAAGATGACATCGTCTAGTCTGGTTAAGTGTCTATGGAGATTTATTTATTTTTTTTATTTTATTTTTTATTTTTTTCTGAAAGGGTTTTGTGTATATAAATAAACTGTCATAAGTCGCTAACATTTGTTTTTTTGACGACTTCATAAAGGGTTATCTTTTTCCTTTTTTTTTAATGTATGAATAATTGCCAAAAAAGTGATCCTCAGTATAAAAAAAACTATAAAATATCATGACATATATAATAATATATACAATAAAAATAATAATATTTGAATATAATGAATGCAATGTTGTATATTGATTTTTTTTTTGTCATGCCTCTTCAGGGTAGAGGCAATTATAGCTCCCCAAATTCCTTTTCTTTTATTCTTATTATCTGTGATTAGCCATAACTTCTTAGAAAAGATAGTGGAGTGTTTTCCTGTTGCCTTCTCCATGGTTTGGAATTCAGAGTTTTCCTTCTCCTAAACTGGCTACCAATCAAAGCTAGAGCAAGAGAGTGCAGTCTCACTTCTCCTCTCATAGCTTGGAGGCATAAAAAAAATGAAATCATGCCTTTCCAAAATGTATTTATGTGAAAATAGATGCAACAGATGAAACAAAATTAGAACTTAGCTTCTTTATATCTGACTGTGCCTTGCATCTAATATATCATTGTATCTTTTATGCTGTTAAATACGGTAATTACATTTGGTTCAGGATAGTAATTAAAATTTATTTTTAGAAGTGAAGTTTCAAATGTCCTTACCTCAACCAATAAACAGGAAATAACATAACTAAAAACAATAACAATCAATATGTTTTTAAAATATTCATCAGGGAACACTTTCATCTGAAAATAGAAATATTTCACAGTTAGAAAAATGTGCATTCTTTTTATTGTATCATTAAGGGATGTAAAGAAAAGTACACAATTGTAACATGGAACCTAAAAGCAACACTTATGCCCATATTCACTGCACTATAGGAGGACTGATATTACATAGCTGTTCAGTACTCTTTTCTTTGTTTCTAATAAAATTTTTCTGTTTCTTAATACTTTACTTAGTTTTTGGAAGACATCTTTTGCTATTCCAATGCTCTTTCGGATTTCAGTGTTGTGCTTTATGAGAATTAATACTATCATGTAACAGTTTAGTACACTTTTCCTTGTTTCTAGAGAAGTGTTTCTATTTCTTAATATTCTGTTTATCTGTTGAAATGCTTCCTTGGCTATCCCAATACCCAATAGGATTTCTTGATCTCTAAGCCAGTAGACATTAATCTCTTCCTGAAGTTACTATGCGCTAACTTCAGCACCAGATCACTGCTCAGTGGTAAGCATCACTTGCATTTCATTCTTTCTCTCTCTCTTTTTTTTGTATCATGTCACTTCAAGACATGTGTGATCATAGCTCCTCGCAGGCAGTCCTGTTAAAAGGCATTTTTTCTTTAATAGGATTCATCTCTCAGCCAGTCGACATCAATTTAATTTTATTTTTTAGTTAAAAAAATAGGTATGTCTACTCAAACATTCTAAATATAATGTTTATAACAAAAAAAAATTCTCCATTTAGAAATTAGCTGCCTTATAATATTTTTTATATTTAAATAATATTATTTATATTGATTATATACTTTTTATATTTATTTTCAAAAAAATATTTTTCTTTAGTATTAAATTTATTCTTGATCATCTTTCCTTGCAGGGCTTAAAAAAGTAAAACTATTTTCTGTACACTCATTCTTCAGTTGCTTTTAGGTTGGTTGCTTTTGTTTAGTGGTGGGTTATTCAATGTCAAAATATAAATAATTTGTACACAATTTTTTATTTGGAGATAATAATGGTTTAGTGATACATGTCTTACTAATTAACCCATAGTTGGGGGACAAGAGGTAGATTTATGTATTTCCTAAGGGTGTTTGCACATAAGTGAATATAACAAACCCAATGGGAATTGGAACTCAGCTACCCGATTAACAATTCCAAGTCATTATCCATTACACCACCCACACATCCAAACTTATAGCACCTGGTATTCCCAAGCAGTCACCCATCTAGGTACTGACCAGACAAGTTAGTTGAGAATGTGAGGTCAAGAAGGTGCAGTGAGATGCTCTTCTGGAGCCAAGCATCAGCCATGCTGATGGCAGGCAGGGAAGTTTCTCTATGGTGGTTAAATGAGAGCAGTTTTGTTTTAGAGGTATTCAAATTTACAAGACATTTCCTGCCCCAGTTAATCATTGACTGGAGGTCCTTTTAAAGAGCAGTGGGCAGGTTAACTTTGACAGCTCTGATGGATCTGCTATTGAGACAGGAGTAAATGGTAGTGTCATCTGCATAAATGCCTACTTGGAGACTGATGACATCTGAAACATCATTGATGAAGATCAGAAACAGTGTAGGAACCAGAATAGAGCCTTGGGAGACATCCGCATTTGTGTGAAAGGATCTGGAAGTGAGCCTGTTCAGAATGACCTTCATTTCATGATTTGATAGGGACAATTAGATTAAATCAAACAATTGTCCTGTAATACTGTATCTTTGGAGCTTACATAGCATGCCAAACTCTGTCAAAAGCATTCAAGATATCCAGAGACAGCTAAAGCTTGATATACATATTCAGTGATGGCCATTAGCACATCGGCAATAGACCTGGCAAAACAGAATTCATATTGTCAAAGAGTAGGTTGTGAGAGGTAAGAAGCTTAACTACTTTAGCATTGATTAAAGCCTCGAATACTTTGCCGAAAAGTGGTAGGAGACTAATAGGGTGATAAAGGGGTCAGAAGGTTCTTCTGGGGTTATGATCATATCACTCAGTAGAGCCTCAGTTCTGGGTTGGGGTGGAATTAGGTGTAGATTTGGAAGAGAATTTCCGAGCAAAGCATTCAATCTTATCTGCTGTAGATGTCAGGATTTTGAATCGATTGAATAGAGGAGAGATTGAGGATTTGCTGTTGTTCAGAACACTCTTGGAGAGCTGCCAATAATCTCTAGAACTGAACTTGTGAGATGCTATACGTTGTTTCATTCTACCAGCAAATAATAACTTTTCTTCATTGAGGACATGCTTGCACTCGTTACAAGCAGAGACAAAGAGATGTCTGTTGCAATCAGATGTGCTACTCTGGTACAGCTGGAAGAAGTGATGCCTGTGGGCTATAGCGGCTGAGCATGCAGATAGGAACCAAGGAGCTGAACATGGTTTAACTTGGTATTTCCTTGCTAGAATGAAAGCATCGATGTCGGCTTTCACCCAGGAGGAGACCTCAGATGTGCATTTTTGAACAAGATGATTAAAAACTTCATTCCAAAGGAAGACCCAAAGGAAATCAAGGAAGTCCCAATCTACTCATTGATAACAGAAAGATATTCTGTTGGTAAGAGGTTCTTGGCCAGTGGGGGAGCAAAAGGAGACGTTTACAGACACTAACGCATGATCAGAGTTGCCAAGAGAGTAGAGCTGCGTAGTACAACAAAAGTCAGGGATAGAAGTAAAAAAGAGATCAAGAAGAGTACTATGTCTGTCAGGGTTACTGGAGAAATGCATAGGGAAGTCAATCACTTGTATGAAAGATTGAGAAGAGTTTGGATACCAGTGAGGTCAATGACAGTATTTAAGACACCTGGTATGGTGGGTATTAAAGTCACCTAATACGAATATGTTTGAAAACAGGTGTAGGGAGATGGCCTTGTCTATATTATCAGAAATACTATCTAGTATGCAACTGTCTTGAGAGGAAGGGGAACAGTAGAGAAAGAAGAGATAGCTGACTGAGTTAAGTAGAGAGAGACGGAGACACATGTAAGAATGGTTTGGAGATTCAAAAGAGAGTTCCTTAGCCAGTAAGAGATGTTTGCAGGCATAAAATCCAAGGACATGCATATGGACTTTATAGTCCTTTCTAAGGAGAGGAAAGAAGCCAGGAATCGAGAAATCAGAGGGAGGGGATTGAAGAGTTTTAATGCATTAGCATTTTTAAAATCGATCTTTATGACATCTATTTTTCTTTAATCATGTAGAAGGGGTCATGTGGAAATTCTCCAGTGTTTCATTAATTACTTAACTAATCATTTTGGTCTGGCATATTTCGTATTGCTTTACCATTTCAATAAAGCAGAAATTAAATGAACAAGGGCATTATCATTTTCAATATTTTTCCTTCCTTTCTTTCTAGAAATACATAATCAAGAATTTGAGGGCAGGAGACAGGCAAGCTAAATGTGTGAGCAGGGGACAAGATTAGCGGCAATGTCTTTAGCTAATGTCTTGCCATTATGTGGGAGGTATTTCTGGCACACCTTATACAAATAGAATTATAATTTGATTATTTAAAATAGAAAGATTTTAAATGCTCCAGATTCACTACAATTAAAATGTTGGAAGAATAAACTCAGTTATATAATAAATGAGGAGAAAAAATACATACCTGAAAGAATTTTATTAACAATGGAAATGGATGAATTAAAAGCAGTGATGTGAATCCAACCAGCAGAATAGTTACAATTGTAAATGGAACTGGAAAAAAAAAAAGTAGGACTTCATCAGAAACATTGGAAAAGTAAATACAATTAATGATATAAGAGACACTTATTTACAGCAGACATGTTCAAAGCCTCCTCCTATTGATCTTCAAAAATTTGAATGCAATGTCAGTTGCTATCTACTGTCTTCTTGGTGCCTTGTAGAGGTGGTGCTGCCTTGAGACAAGAGGGTGGCTGATGAAAGAAACTATGTCTGGTAAAAGGACACTGCACCATACCACACAAGCAGGAGAACCCAGTCATGTCTGTCAGACAATTTGTGACCACATCACCCCTTACATCTGGCTACCTAAATCCTCAGACTGCAATTGCCTTGATTATTATGTGTGGAGCACAGTTGAATGAGAGACTAACAAAAGTCCTTGAACCCCCAAAGATGAACTGAAAGCAAGGATGTGGAAGAATTCACCAGCTTAAACAAAGAGACTGTCCAGAAGAGCTGCAAGAGATTCTGAAGTCATCTGTAGGCCATGGTTGAAGCCAATGGCGATTTTATTAAATAAATTTACTCTTTAGTATTTCAAGATAATTTTTGTGTAATTTTGGTAAATATATCTGTTAAAATGAGATGTCAGTGTTATTTTCATTTTTGCATAATTTAGATGAAAGTTTATCCATCACACCCTGTATATGATCTTTGTTTTCATGTGTTCCCAGAATTGAGCACAGATTCTTACCATTTGTATAAAACCGTTTTCTATGTGGAGGCCCCTTTGAAAAGGCGAAGGCAACAGTTATGTATTGATAAGAAGAAACAAGGAAAATTAGAGTTGTCTCATGGCACTGAACAATATTATCACCATTTTTGTTCTGTGAAGTAACATCAATTCTATGATACCTATAAGAAAAAGAAAAAGAAAATTAGTTCATTTTGCAGGTTACATTTCATAAGTGTTACAAATTTAAGCTTATTACCCAGTAGTCCTAACCTTTTCTTCACAATCATCCTGAAAAACAGCTTTAAATGTTCTGAAATCATTCATTTTTCTTTTTAAACTTTGTTATCATTTACAGTTGTTAATAGCATAATAAAAACACTATCATTTTTTTTAGGAAAGTTAAAATAGTAAAGTTTAAAAAAAAAAATAACATAATTCAAAAACAAATTACTTCCTTGATTAACACCTTCCCTGTTAATTATTTTCGGAAAAGCATTTGATTTCCGATGGATTTTGTTATTTGTTTTTAATATGGTGTTGTAGCATACCTATGGATGATAATGGGTATGTCCCCATTCACATAAATACAGTAGTAAATACTGTATGTTGGTCTGCAGTTGGAGATTCATTGTGGAATTCACTTCTAGCAGTTGACTACTTCTGCTACGTGCTGCTGGTGAATCTTAAATGTATTGTTGTTGTCCTAAGTATTATCGTTCATTAACAACCTTTCTGCAATTATTCTATTCAGTAACCTTCCCTAGGTTACAACATATAGTAGCTAAGAAACTGAGATACCTTGAAGTACCTGAGTGGTGGCTAACATCTCAAAAGGGCATACAAAGAATCAAGATCGGCATATAAACATGTCTGTAGATGATAAATGAGGGATATTCATGTTTATAATTAAAGTTGGCCAGAATTTTAAACCCTCTAGCCATGAGCAGACACCTTTTCAGCCATTCTAGTTACATCGCTATTTGTAGCTCTAAAAGACTTTGTTTTGTTCTCAGAGCTTATCTTGGAGAGAGATTACTCCAACCTTTCTGATTTCAAGAATGTCCCAATCATAGGTTCGTTCTTTAGGATCCATCAATAACATGGCACTAGATTAACATCATCTTGTTTTTTTTTTGTGACCCACTTCCAAAAAGAACAGAACAGTGATCTCTTTTATCACTTTTTAACACATAGAATTTAGACATGTTTTTCAGAACTTCCACCAATGAAGTAAGTACAACCTTTACTTTGGTTGTTCCAAATTAGCAAAAAGCTGACTTGAGCTCAACCATTATAACTATTCTTATTACTTATCCTAACTTAATTCTGGACTAGAGTTTGGAATGTATTTTACCAAAACTCTACTGACTAAGTCTGCAAAACCTTCGAGTGTTCCAACTCAGCACAAGGCTGATTTTAGTTTGACCATTATAACCATTCTTATCCTTACTTCTGGATCAAAAAAAGAAAATACTCAAGAGACATTGAGAACATTGTTTCCTTACAGTTTCTATAAAAAAAAAAAGAAAAAAAAGAATAAACAGTCCATAGTAGAAACCCAAGTTTTTGTTGCTTTTTCTTTAATTGCTTATATATGAACACTAGCAGCATGGCCTGGCTTTGCCTGTGCTTGATTCAAAAATCGTACGACTCATACCGTAATCGCTATCACTTGACTTAAAATATTTTTGCCCTTCCTTGCCTTTAAAGGAGTGCCCTTTGCCGTGCTGATGTTGCTATATACCTTACTTTTTGCCTATCTCACACTGCAAATTTTTTCTAAGCTCTATACTAAACATTAAATCTGTTACGAAAAAAGAACTAAACAAAATGAACACAAAACGATCAGCTTTAGAAAAGGACTCATAACTGGAAAAACCGAATGAAAAAAGAATGTTAACAACAAATACTTTTTCACACCCAACTCAGTTCGTTCTGCGGAATCAGAATCAACATTGAGTTTAAGCAAGTGAATGAGCCAATTGGAGTAAAGTGCCATGCAGATTTAAATTTTTCCCACTTGTGACGAATACAGCTATTGATTTTTTTTGCATGCTAGCATGCTAGTTAACATTCATGTCAGTCAGCTGTTGGCTCTCACACTGGCCAATAGAATCTTCCTCTCTATTCATGGCAGCCAGCTATAGGCTCTCACTCTGGCCAGTAGAAAATGGCCGCAAACTACATGAAAACTGCCATAGAAGCATGGAAAAATCGATTATTTCCACTATCGTTGGGAGTTGGGAAATGCAGTCGGTCTTGGCCTTCCCGCTAACTTGGAGCATGTGCATGTAAATTTTGGTGCAATCCGTCAAAAATTGCGGCCGTGCATTCGTTACACACACATCCTGCTTTTTATAGATAAAGATGTACACAACTACAATACACCAATATACAACCCAACACCATAAGGAAAAAGGGCTTGGAGAATTTGACATTCACAGGATATATTTAAGTCAAGAAGAACAGAGAGAAACAGTGAATAATATACCTAATGGGTGTTCAAATGAATGGCAGAACATGAACACTGAGGGATAGTAAGATGCCAAACATTGCTTAGAGTTACAAAGTATAGGAAGTTGTGGAAAGACATAATTGCACGCATCCTGATGAAATATAACAAAAAAGATGATAAAATATAAAATGAAGAATATGGAAAATGATGATCTAAGCATTAATTTTTCTTTTAAGAAAAAAAAAAAAAATTATATACCCCTTTCTGCCTTCCATTAGCATGGCTGATGCTATACTCCAGGAGAGTGATTTGTTGCACCTTTTTGGGCTAACATTCTCAGCTGACATCAAGTGGAAAGACAATATCGAATCCATTGTTAGATTCACTGTGTTGTGCCAGACAATTTTTCTTGCCAGAATCTATCTTACATATCTATAAGTTTACTATTCACTCATGCTTAAAATAATGCTGCCACTTATGATCTTGTGCACCTGCTATATATTTAGAGATCCTTAATAAAATCCAAACAAGAATCAGTAATATTATTGGTTTTGGCTGGTATCTTGGCTCCAGTGACTTTCCCATCACAGTAAAGTTGCTTTCCTTTTGTTTGGATGAGATTTTTGCTATGGTATATAGACTTTTGGGATTTAAGAGCAGTACTAGATTGACAGTAAGGTCTCATTAATTTAAAGTCAACTTGGCTAGATGTAAGTGTAAATTCTATGTTAACAATTTCTTTTCTCACACTTCTCTTGTGGAACTCTCTTCCCACTCCATGCTTTCCAATCAACTTTAATCTCCAAAAATTTAAATGTGATGTCAATCACTATCTACTGTCTTCCTGATTACTTTTCTATTGTTCTTGCTTCTTAGTAATGTTTCTGTTTTCTATGTTTTCCACATCCAGTAACCCATTGTGGCTTTACTGCCTTGCTTTGGGTGAACTCATATATATATATTATATTTTATATATATATATATATATATATATAATTATTGAAATTCAGTCAGAATTTTCAAAGAACATTGGCTTTCAGAGGTGCTATTGTTAAAATTTTGTTTGGATACCAGTAATCCAAATCTCATGTCTTCAAAAGGGACAGAAGTCTTTAGGGTAAACAAAATCAAAATGTCATTTACTTACCAAGGTTGGACTTGCAAATAAAGGAAGCTTGCCATTTGGAAAATAATTACAAGTGCAACTTGCATGAGTATGGAGATTATATTGGTAAATTTGACCAGGCTGCCAGGGGGCTTCTTCACTGTCAGTTTATCATGAGCTCTTGTATAACCCACTGGAAGTGCGGAAAATAAAGGGAGATAAAAATAAAATAATAAAAAATCTCACAGACAAATTATACATCAAATATTTTTAATCCAACACTTTTCATACTTTAAATGCTATTATAGTGTATACTTTGTAGATGAAGTAAAAAAAAAAATACCTTTTATTTATTAAACAGTGTGTATTACATCTATTAGGCTGCACATTTGAGATATCTTAGTAAAGAAAATGTGCTCCATGGCAGGGGTTGAACCTGCATCCCCCTTTATAGGAGAAACCACCATTTGATCCAGTGTGCTTTAGTGTTTAGACACAAAGAACATCACAACAAGCAAAGTTCTATTTTCCATTTTTAAGGAAAGCACTTCAGCACTCAGATTATTTTCTCAAAAGCTCCATATCTGCTCAGTTTTGAATCCGAAACATAAAAAAAGAATTTCTAAAGAATTAATAGGTTTATTTTTAATCCAAAATTTTTATGAGGCATCCATTTCAGATATGAAAATGTTTGAAGTGACATCAAATCATTGAAATATTTTTTTCTCTTTAATAATAATTGATGTAAAAAATTTTTATTAAATTTTAAATGTAAAAATTTTATGAAAGACTCATGTAAGATGGATTTTGAATTAGGGTTGAAAATTGCTCTGCAAATATTTTTATTAAACCATATTTTCAACTGGAAAAGAGGATTTCTTAATCAGAAAAATAGATAAAAATTTAAGTCTCTTCTGCTTCTCTTTTTTTTAATTTACAAATTTTTAAAAAATTTCAATTTTTCCATTAAAATCTAAAATATATTTCAATTAAAAAAATTTCAATTAAAAAAAGTTCAATTAAAAAACATTTCAATTAAAAATAAAAAAAAATTCATTACTTTTGTTCCCAAATGTGGATGTTACTGCCAATATTGTTTTGCTAGAAATTTTTTTTTTGAAAAATGTATTGCTGGTAATAATTTTTGAAAAATCTATTGCAATAATAATTTTTTTTTTTTCAAAAACGTATTGCTGGTAATGACTTTTGAAAAATCTATTGCTAATAATAATTTTTTTTCAAAAATGTATTGGTGGTATTTTTACTATAAAAACCTATTTTTAGATTTTTATAGTTTTTTGACCTCAGTTTGGGGGTTAAATATTTGCCCATAGCTGGAACCCTAACAGGTGCTACCACACCAAGTCAGGGTGGATCTGGGAACAACAGCAATTAACAGATGGTTCCATGCTTCTCAAAACCTCCTGATAGAAGCCTTGCTGCCGGATCCAGTTTATCATCATACCCAGGATGTGTAGTTTAACATTTTCAAATCAATTTTCTGATCAAGAAGTCAAAAGTCTGATCAGAATAAAAACAAACATTTATATCCAGAAAATTACTTTTTTTCTTTTGTTTTTACTGATAGTTCGTCCAATACAAGGCCCAAGGGCTACTCAAGATGGAGTGTTATTGAGTGAGATTGTAAGGGAGGGGAAAGGGGAAGTAAGAATATTATGAGGATAAGTAGGATAGATATTGGTTGACCCTGGACTTAAAGAGACCAAGATTGTAGTTGACAGGGAAGCATTCTCTCGGGAGTTTGTTGCATGAAGCAACAGTTTTGGGGAAGAGGCTGTCTGAGTGAAACTTGCTTTTTATCAAAGGAACACAAAAAGGATGTGAATGGTTTACCACCATGAACACAGCATGCTGTGGAGATCCGATCTGGTGGCAATAAGGAATGGCATTTGCCTGAACATCTTCCATAGTAACAGCATTATAGTTGTAAAATGGCTGGCAGATGGACGGACAACTTCATTGTATTTATAAAATGATATTTAAAATAAAACTATTTGCCCTCTGATAATACATTAAGACAAAAATCAGAAAATACTTACTTAGAACTGCCACAGATGTTGTAATAACCAGATCAACATACAAATATTGAAAGTCAGCCAAATTTACTCCATACTGAAAGAGAGATGAATTTGAAATATTGAATATTGAAAATATTATCTCTTTTTCTTCTAATTCATGTGCAGATGATTTTAGGAACTTGTGTGCATAGGGAGGAGATAAAACAAATGAAACCATATATATATATATATATATATATATATATATATACACACTTTACAATTGGAATTACAATACCTTTAGTAAATGACCATTTTCACCTATGAATTTTAATTTTAAAATTTGCATGATTTTTCAAACTGTTTCTGGTATCGGCTTGTAGTGTACTGTTTATTTGGAGAAAGAAAGAGAGAGGGTGTGTAATTGGATACCTATTGGGAGGTGGGGTGGTGAAGAAGAAGTTACTGGAATCATATTAAGGAGGTAGAAGAACCTGGGTAGAGGGAGGGGGGAGGCAGAGACCAATGGGCTGACCTATATCCTAATGGTCACACGGTCAAAGTTTAATTTGCCAGGAATTCACAGAAATTAACGAAAATGGATGCGTTTGCCCATGTCAATAATACCTCTTTGTATAGCTGACTGCCCCAACCAACACTTCATTTAAGAACATACACACTTGCGTTAACTTTAAGTGACCCTTTAGTTTCAACATATTAAAATCTTGGATTAACTATGTACCTTATATTAAGTATTAGGAAGTCTTCTAATAGTAAATTATGATGACCCAAGATTGGATATACTGAATCATATATAATGATTACATATAGGTTGACCTATATACCTATATATGAATGTATCTCCTCACGCATACCTATCCTAATGCTTATATGTACCCCCCCCCCCTCATCATACATACATGTATACTCCATCACTCACATATATGAGCATATGCATCTAAATTAATATCCTCTTGAATCATCCTTATTTTGTTGTTATATGTTATTTAATTAGCCCAGAGATTATCTAATCGTTTATTATTATGTTATAACCAATTTGGTGGAGGATTGGTGCCCACATTTACTGGATTTTCAGGATAACTATACATAAACCCAAGGATGGGAAATGGAAATTGAATTATAGCACAACTGAAGCAAGGAGACGGGGGAAACTCTAGTGGGGAAATTATTGATGGTCATCAAGACTTGGTGATGGAGTTGGGATGTGTGTGTGGATGGAAAAAGATGGGAAAATAGTAAGAGTATAAAAGAAGGGAGGAGAAGTTAGATGTGCAGTGTGAATGTTCACTGATTAGTTCATATTCCTGTTAAATGATAATAGTTCGATTGAGTACGATCTGAATCAGGGAGAAGCAGAGGTTCCTAGATGAAAGTCCTCCTATGATAGTTCTTATTGGTTCAATGGGAGTTTAGGCGAGTTCAAATTACCTGTGGTGACCGCATTTGTAAATTAGCTTGTTTCTTTTGTTTAGGAGAATCTTTTGGCTTCCAAATTTGATTATTTTAATTTTCTCCTGTAGGCATAGATTGCATTTACCTTTAAAGCTCTCATATTAGGAAATCAGCCGATTCCATTACCTTGGTTTCAAACTTTCGGTATCTTCAGGTGATTTTGGTCAATTGATTTCCTAACGCTTTATTTTTTAAAAATAAAAAATTATATATATATATATATATATATATATATATATATATCCTCCTTGGAATCATCCCTACCAATCACAGATTGGTATTATATATATATATATATATATATATGAAGCTGATAGGAAATTCATGTTAATGATGCAGCTTGCTTTGTTCTGCTGATGTAAGATGGGGGACACAGAAAAATTTTAACCTTATGCAAATTTATAAAAAGATGATGAAAATGATTGCTTCAGCAGAGAATTACAGGCAACAATTTTTACAGAGAAGATTTGTACTTACAGTGTATAAGATGAGGACTGAACAAAACTGGATAAGACTGTAAAGTGCCATGTATTTAAAACAACCAAAAGAAGTTACCAAAGCAGCACGGCCTTCTCTGAAACATAAATATTTGAATGTAAACATCTTAAGGCAAATGTAAATTACTGAGTTGGCCAAAAATTTGTTTGCTTATTGAGTAGAAAATTTACTTAATAAACCAAACAAATTTTTTAGTCAACCCAATAAATTGACAACTAGCAGTAGAGCCCGGCATTGCCCGGGGATGTAACAGTAAGAGATAGATCAAGTATCGACCATCATAAAGACTGAAAAATAAAATTGACAAAGATTATTGTTTCAGGTTGACGGACACGCATGTCTTAATTAGTTTTCTTTTTTTTTTTACGAATTGGTCAAATCCAAACTCAAACAAAAACATTGTTTTCAATCGTTATGAGTCTACCGATTGAATAGAATTTTATTATAAACAATTGTCTTGTAAATGGAATTTTTAAAGCATTCTGAATATAAAAATAAAGAAAAAAGTGTGCAAGACAATAAGAAACACTACCTGCCAAAAAAAAGGTAAAATTTTGTTGAAATGGGTTGAAAAATGTAGGAAATCCGATCCCATATATAAACGAACACACACACAAACAACCAACCTGGGTTTTATAATAAGTATAACTTGATAACTTGATATTAATAAGTATAACTCAATAGGAGTTGTCTCCCTTTCATTAATGCTTCTTAATCGTGTTTTCAAATTGATTTTGTGCAAAAACAATTGTGTTTTTCCAATTTTTGGTGCTGTCAGAACCACCGCAAGGTAATTTTACGCAGTCCTGTGAAGTTTTGTTGAAATCGGTTGAAAAATGTAGGAAATCTGATCCAATATATAAACATACAGACACACACACAATCTGCGTTTTATAATAAGTAAGATATAGGAAAATTCAAATATTATTTCTTGAATAAGCATTGAAAAGTGTGGCAACCTAACCTGATAACTGTAACAACACATTCAATATTTTGTGTCCTTGATGTGAAAGGTGCAGCAACTGAGGCTTCAGTTTCTGACAGAGAGATTCCCGCATGAGCAGCTTTTAAGGCCTACAAAAAAGAAAAGACGACAATATGAAATAATAAATTATTTACATTTAGACTAATGGCTTCATCTTTAGTATCATAACACTTTGACCGTTGTGCCAACTGGGCTTCTGTAGGTGTCTCTTATAGGACTATAGCCAAGTCGACTGATGTATTAGTCTGTGAATTTGGTGGCATAATAATTATGATGTGAAGGGTATTGGCATTAAGGGATGGTTTGATTCCTCTGACCACTCTAAAAAAGGGGGGGGGGGCTGGATAACCCCTAAATTTGGAAAATTACTTAAGTAAACATATTTTGAAAATATGGAATTTTAGTAAAAGGTTCATACTAAGGGTGGAGGATAACAACCCCACCTCTGCCAGACTTCATATAAACTGAAGATTTGGGCAACATTAAGAGTCCCCACATTACTGCTACTGGAATTTACTGGTTCAGCGAGACCTCCTTGTGGTTATAAAAAAAAAAAAAAAATGATCTCATTGGCATCTGTATGTAAAAAGAGTCTTGTGTGAAAGCTATATATTGTTTATTTTAAGCTGGCAAAAGAAATTAATGCGGAATCACAGCGTTCATAGGACGGGAGTTGAGAAAAATAAGATGGAGTGTACAAAAGACAGTGGGAGAAGAGGAATTTAGTCTACAAAAAAGCTAAAAATATGGAGTGTACGAAAGATGGTGAGAGAAGAGGAATTTAGTTTACAAACAGCAAAACAATACGTGAAATACAACATCTACGTTTTGTCACTCAGAATTAACGTCTGCTAAGGAATTTTAAGAGAGTCTTTCGAATTTAAACTACAAGACCTTGTGCCAACCATGAAGACCAGAAGTTAGAAATTTAAATTACAACTAACACAAGTTGCAAACTCCAAAAGAGTGTCATTTGATTATAACAGTAAGTGGGAAGGGTCAAAACCTCTATATACAATAAATCATATATAAACCAAATCGGGGGTTACATTTTTAACCAGAGTTAATTCTTTATCGCAAAGAATTCTTTTTATGCGTATCACATCAACTTGTACTTTGCTTCAGTTTACTTCATCAGCAGTTTTCTCACCCACTGAGGTCATAAATACAAGATAGCAGAAGTGTGAAGGATCACGAAGGAGACAAACACCAGCTAGACCAAATGGAACTGTGCTCATCAACACGATACCAGCGACTAATCAGCAATGCGTTAACAAGTGAGGGGTCAGATAGATGGTAACCATATTGGTTGGAAGGAACTTGACAACCAACACAGGGAAGTGGGTTACAATGGTATTTTTGGACAAATTTTTGATCCAATTCAATCTTACCAAATCACGAAATGACATGAATGGCGACTCATCTAGATCTTTTTGCATTAATGTGGAGGTCTTCCAAGGCTCAATCCTTAGAACTGTGTTGTTCCCAATCTTCAACAACAACCTTCCCAATGTCATCAGTTCTCAACTCAGTATCTATGCTGATGATACAAGTAAATACTTATGTCTTAATGGTAAATCTGAGTGGCTCAATAAGGTCAAATTGGTAGCTGATCTAAAAAATGACCTACTTTCTGTTGTTAACTGGGCCAAGAAGTGGCTTGTTAATATAAAAATAAAACTGCTCTCTTTTAATCATCTTAGAGAACCATTTTTGCCTTCTATCAGCATATGGCTGATGCTAACCTCCAGGAAATTGACTCCTTGCACCTTCTCAAGCTAATGTTTTCCACTGAGATGACGTGGAAAGATTTGATTGAATCAATTGTTAAGTCTATCGCTGCAAGGAAAGTTGGTTCACAGTGCTGTATTAGACAATTTTTCTTGACAGAATTTATCTTACACATGTCTATCATTCATTCACACATGCATTGAATATTGCTGTCACATCTGATCTGAGGCTTCTGCTATGTATGAAAATCCAAAAAAGAATCTACAATGTTATCAGTCCAGACCTGGCATCTTAACATCACTTTCCCACTGCCATAATGTAGCTTCTCTATATCTTGTGGAATAAGGCAGAATTTTAAGTGGAACTTTAAATAAAATACCCAATAACAAAAATAAAAACAGAGCAAAATAATACATGAACAAATATAATAAAAGGCAAGGCAACTAGAAGGCAATAGCAAAGTAAAGCATTTATGGGACAGTAAAAAAAGAAACTGGTCATACACAAATGGGATACAGTCAAGTAGTTATAGCCTTATCTCTAGGCAAGAAAGAAAAAATGTATACATAAGACTAAGAACTGCCCACTTCTATTGACTAAGAAGAAATCCCAGCATGTATCTGCAGGATTTGTCTATAAATTTGGGGAGGGAGAATCCCATGGGGATTAAAGCCAACATGAAAACTGTAAATAGTTCAGCAGATAATACCAAAATAAAAGAGGAATTTTGTGAAAATTCCTAACAAACATAAATAAAGCCATTTAAAAAAAAAATCAAGACTAAAAATTTAAAGTGGCAAATTATTTGTTTGTAGTATTAAAACATTAACTTTATATTCCATTCTTACAGATACACAATAAAATTTATATCTTAATGTTTTACAGCTTAAAAAAATATACACACAGACTTAAAAAAAAAAATTAAATTCTCTAATTTGAATATTAAATCAATTTTCAGTTCAATTGGTTCCAGAGTAATTTTTAGATATAACTTGCAAGTCTGACCAAAAGACATACCTCCAAGTCTTAATTGCAACTTAGAATAGAAATAATTTCTGTTGACATGTCTGAACTCTTTTACCAGTAACGATACATTAATAATAATTAAGGTTAGTGTTAATTAACACAAGAAAATAATTAAAATAGAAATTCTACATCTCAGATTGTTTTGACATTTCAGGAAGTAATACACAACAATAAATAAATATATAATAATTATAAGAAAAATATAAGTTTATATGTAAAAAAACCCCAAAAAACCCAAACATTTCGACAAACATAAATAAAACCACAGAAACTATATATATATATATATATATATATATATATATATATATATAATGGCTGGCCACTAATATCTGAGTATGCCTCTTTACTAGGGCAACTAGTCAATCCCTGTTGTGCTCAGACACATTTGTGTTTGTTCAACACTCACAGAGTTCACCTGTGTGTTACACTGCAACTATGCTGACTGAAATTTAGTTACAGCTTTTGGGAGAGAGTGCAGTATCTAGCATGATCAAGTCAGAACAAGGCCAGTATACTCAAACTCTCTGTCACAATGACTTGTGACTTTGTGCTAGCACACCATCCATAGCTCCCATAGCTTTCTGTCTAGCCAACTTAATCCACAAGGCTCAAATCAAGCAGTGGTATGGTTTTCATATATTAGTAATAAATAAAATTAAATGTTCACTTATTACAAGGTAGCGATAAGATAAATAAAACTAAATGTTTGCTTATTAGAAATGCTATATTTCTTGATATTGAGCTACAAAGACTTACCTTAAAAGTTTATCTTCCAGAAATATCCTGGTTAATCTTTGTTATTGCTAAATCATATACATATATTTATTTATTAAAGCAGCATGAAAATGTACCAACCCTGACATGCAACACACATGTCGAGAACATAAATGAGATATGCAACGACTGCAAAAAGTGGCTAAAAATAATTAAAACCCTATCATAAAAAAGCAAAATAACTCTTAATAACATCAATGTAGTGGTCATATTTTGAGAATTAAAAATGTTTACCTTTCAGCAACTTACACACCATTTGTAATAGCACAACCAGAACCCAGGACAATTTCTATGCGCACAAATTTAAAATAAAAATCTCAAGCTTGCACACAGGAAAAATACAAAAACTTAACAGAAGCACCTTGTCAGTCATTATTAATGAAACATGTATTAGAGAGGGACTGCTGCCCAAATATGCAACTGTGTACACACACACACACACACACGGTCATTTCAACAAGAAAAAAAAAAATGAAGTTATAAACTTGCTAATCAATTCCTCCATTCTACTTCAACAATAGATCTGATATTTTTAATGAATTGATTTAATATTGAATGACTTACCTCACAATCATTTGCTCCATCACCACAAAACCCAGTTCCATATCTGTGTAAAATAAATATATCTTAGAATCTGTGTCTCAAACACAATTAAAATATAAAGCATGAAATTAATTAAAAAAAAAAAAAAAAAAAAAAAAAAAAAAAAAAAAAAAAAAAAAAAAAAAAGAAAAAAAAAAGAAGAAAAAAAAGACATTTGTAGGTAATTACTATTTGTTTGAATTTCTGAGATAAATAATTATTATACACTAATATATTCAAGCTAGTACTTTGGACCTTCTTCAAAAGGAATCATCTTCAATACAATGTAGAGAGCACAGACTTTTTTCAAGACCAAATTCCATTTAAGCTTGAAAACTTCATTATTATCATAAATCTCAAAAGTGTGTCTAAACCATAAAGGTATTCCCACTTGTCATTAGAAATCAGTTTTCTTTTTTCTTTTAATCATTTTAATTTTGTTATATTCTGTGCTAAGGGAATAAACAAATAACACCAACAATATTCTCCCATGTTATGATCATCATGACATACTCATAGTTGAAATATGTCACAGGTGTGACCCATCAAGTCTTGCATAGACACATGAAATACCTACAGAAGGATTTTGAGAATACCATGGACCAAACATGTAAGCAATGAGGAAATTTTAGAGAAAATGGAAAAAAAAAGACAATTATACTTAACATCAAGAAGATAGTTGAAAAGACATGACTCATAGAAGTGTTCTATTGCTACTGTGAGACACATTCATTGTAATAACATCTATTATCAAATGATATTTTCATAGATCATCTTCTATGTGCCCTGTCCATTCAGGACGTGGGCAATTATGGTTCTCCACAACTTTCTGTACTTTTAGTTCTTAGCACTGTTTGTCTTTTTTCTATCTCTCCTAATCCCTGTTCTACCAAGCTTGCTAAGTAGTCATTCGATTTTTTCTCCTCTGTCCCTCTTGCCTTCAACATGTCCTGTGAGTGTCAAACTCTACAAGTCCTCTTTCCTCATTACATGCCCTAGAAATTCCAATTGTCTCTTTCTTATTCTAAGTATAAACTGATTTGTTTTTAACATCTTAACCTTTTGCAGGTTATTTAAAATTCTAAGTATTCTTTTTTGTTTTCATTTTCTCAAGATAATATTTCCAAAAATAAACTTACTCTAATTCCTGGAACTTTTCTACAAGTTGAGCTTTTTGTTCAGGAGACATACGTGCAAATATGGTTCCACGCTGACAAATCTGAGAAAACAAGGGAAATTAAAGAACATAGTTTAATGAAAGCAGAAAATATTACAGTTTAGGTAAAGCCCAGAAAAAGTGGGTTTATGATAGACATTGGTAAGAAAGCCAGAAGGTGTTCTTTCTACCAATACATCCAGGAAAGGAAGCTGATTGTTCTCTTCTACCTCCATTGCATATTTTAAAGAAGGATGGAGATTATTAAGATATGAAAACAACTCTTTTGCTTTACTATGGGGGGAAAACAACATAAACATGTCATCAATATAGCAGAAGTAGCAGTAAAGCTTATTAATCCTATCAAAAAGCTGTTTCTCATGAAAGCCAACAAAAATGTTAGCCAACAGAAGACCTAATGGACTACCCATTGCCACTCCACCTATCTGTTGATACATGCAATTGTTAAAGCTGAAGGAGAAAGACTTAGTAGCCATCTCCATCAACTCAGCAAAAACAATCCCGGGAAAAAGTGGAGGCTTTGCAGGGCCATGATACAAAAAATCAGCACAAATCTACTGTTTCATCAAGTGGGACATTTGTGAACAAACTAGTTATATCAAATGACACAAAAAAACTCAGGGACAGAATTAGGTTTCAATTTATGCATATAATCAGTGAACTGAAAAGTTAGGCATACAATACTCTGAATAGAATGATAAAACCAGGCCAAGAACCTCAATAAGCCACTTAACCAAACTGTGCTGGGCTGATAGCATAGACAAAATGGGCCTAAGTGGAACATCCTCTTTATGAATTTTTGGTAACCCATACATCCGAGGACATTGGAAACCCACAGGACAAATATTATTATAAATTTCTTTCGACAGAAACTTTCTCTTATGAAGTTCTAACAATTACTTCTGTAATTGGACTTCAGTTTTTAAGGTGCCATCACAAACAAGTGACATCTCCTAATTTCAAAAAATTTACTACTATCATTTAAAATACACTGCATTTTATTGACGTAGTTGGAATAATTTAATATTTCAACATCTGCACCTTTGTCAGGCCTGGTAATATCAATATCTGTCTTTGTTTTTAACAATTTGGGCATTTGAAAGTGGTTCTTTTGCCAAGAAAACCCAAGGGAATCGATAGAGAAATTGACAAAGCTATATGCTAAGTCTTTCAAAAATATATGAGTAACAAGTAAGTCTTTCAATATATATATATATATATATATATATATTTATTAATGCATGTTTCATTAAATAATATAGACAAGTTTTGTCTATTTATTTTAAGCAAATTCCTTTCATATCGTCTGATAAGCTTAATAACATTATCATTGAAAGACAAAAGAAAATTACCATATTGATACATGTTTTTTAATCCTATCTAAGCTTTCAGCTTACATAAGCCATCATCAGAGATGACAAGTACTTTAAAATAAATTAAACAAGACACGGACGTAGCAACAATGATAGTCTGTTTTGTTTGTATGGAAGATTTCCAAGCAATGACAAACTCGTGCATACAAGCCACTGGAAGCGAAAATAGCACCATGGCCCATGACAAGTAAGTCTTTAATATATATATATATATATATATATATATATATATACAATATATATACAATATATATATATATATATATAACAAGTAAGTCTTACAATATATATATATATATATATATATATATATATATAAATAAGTCTTCATATATATATATATATATATATATATAACAAGTTCTTATATATATATATATATATATATATATATATAACAAGTAAGTCTTACAATATATATATATATATATATATATATATAGAGAAGATGGTCAACGGAATGTTGGCCGACACTTGCTCAGGTTTAAAGATAAGCTGAAAAATAAACCTTGCAGCTGCAAATATTGCACACACTGATTTGGAGAATGCTGCCTTGGATCGCAAAGCTTGGAAAAGTGTAACTTACACTGGAATCAGGAATTTTTCAGCAACAAGCGTTGTCAAGCTCCGTGAAGCAAGAGAAAGGAAAAAAAAGCCTCAGAAGGTGCCAGAGAAGTGCACCCTCTTTGCTCACACGCTTGCCCAATCTGTGGTTTTCTTTGCAAGTCATTAGCAGGTCTGAAATGTCACTCTAGATTCAAACATAAGGGTCATTAAAAGTTTGTCGGAACCTCATACGTTGAAATCGGCGGGAGAGTCCATCATATATATATATATATATATATATATATATATATATTAGTGGCTATGCTGGCCCTTACTGGGAAAAATTGACAGCAATGACATCACCATCTAAGACCATTGATTTTCCATGATTGAGTGTCGAACTCATATAGTGTCACACATGAGTGCAAAGTCCAATGTGTGAGAAGCAGACACAACTACAGATATTGCAAGTACAGTCCTGTCCAACTGGTGTTGATGAAGGGGTAGTGCTCTCCTACTGTTTGTACTATCTCCTTGTTTTCTTGGCCTCCCTTTAATGAGCTAAGGTGGTCTCATATATCAACAGCCAACTGCAGATTCCTAGGTGGTATGGTTGATATTAAATGATATGTGGTCTTGTTTAAGAAGGAGTCTACCATAGTTGGGATCATCGAGTCAATGCAAATGATCATTTCCTCTGCTACATAGTATGTGCTTCACCAGGGCCACACACAATTTTGAATTCAGAGATCTTACTTCTAGAACAGTTGCCACCCAAGTCTATAGAACCAAGTCTGCCCTAATTATCCATAACTGAAGGGAGAAAAATTGGATTCATAACTTCCAAAGATTTTAGCATGTAAGTGAATGTAATGAACTCAACTGGAATTTGGAATTGGCTCTCCAATTCCTCAAACTCAGCCACAATCCATGCTTCTTGTTTACAGAGGGAAGAATAGAAAATTGCCATTTGCAGGAAATAAATACCTATAAAGATGTTAATGGTGATTTCTCATGGACAACACCATTTTGCTTTTCATTGGATTTTCTCCAATACAACTGAAACTAAATGACCCCTTCCAATATATAAAGTAAATAAAAACAGATCACAAAACAGGTTGTATTGTATGCTACTGTTAGTCTGCACTTGTTTGGAAATGACACTAAATGTTAGTGAGTTTACAAAAGAAATATTAGGGACTAATATTTCATAGTGTCTTGAGAAAATATATCTATGTCAACAGCAGGCAATGCAAGCTTCGTAGACATAAGTACATAGACAATGGCAGGAGTGTTTATAACTGTGAGTTAAATAATAATATAATTGAAATACTTACTTGGTCAATGATTTCTGGAAAATGGTTTCTTAAAACTGAAAATGATTTTCCCGAGACAGCAAAATGGTATTTGTTATAATCTGAATCAATTCTGATGGAATGGTAGCCCTGGATGATGAAAAAGAAACAAAAATGATTTGTTAGAATAATGATATCCAGATAATGATATAATAATGAATAATGATATCAAAATTGGGATATATTCTAAAATTACTACTAAATTACATACACCCATCAAATCACTTTTTTTAAATTTCAAAAAATAAATTTAAATAATATATATATATATATATATATATATATATATATATGACAATAATAGTTTCACAATAAAATACATACAAAAATATCTTTGTAGGGTGAATCTTAAATCTATGATGATAGTTTTTGGAGATGTTTTTGGCTAAAGTGATTTTTATGCTTATTTTAGGAAGTTATTTCATTATCTTACAAAACAAAACTAAGCATTTTTGCGAGACGGTATTTTTTGCATATTAGTTAATTTCTTTCTGTTTGAATGTCTAGGGCGAGGAGTTATTTACATTTAGACTATTGTCCTCATCTTTGTTGTTATTATACTGATTTGGGTGATGTACCTTCCAGGCTTCATCATGTGTTTGTTGATACAGGTAACTTTCAGGGAATTTTGAGTTGAACCCTTTATTTAATCTAGCATATGCATGTGGGGGATAAACAATTCCCATTCTGCTGATCATGTCTAGGGATATCTTGTCTAGTTCTTTTTTAGTACTGCTCAGTCATTGCTTTAAGCTTGCAACAGAAAAACACTAAGTGACCTACAACAGCATCTGAATTTTATAGAATAATGATTTCAAAACCAGACTGAAAGAAGGGGAAGCAACTCTGGTGACATAAAAGTAATCCGGACACTGGTATAATGAGAGGAAATTAATAGTAAGATTAAAAGTGTTTTTATTCACTCATAAGTTTGCATTGAACAAATCGTAGACAATTGTGATGACAGCTGTTAAAGAAAAGTGAGTAAGTAAAATTAAAGGTATGCAAAATCAACCCAAGCCATTCATGGTGTACATTACTGAGCCGTGCTATGAAGCCATAAAAGTAGCCTTATCAAATAATAATAAAATTATACAATGCACTTAAAAGGAATTAAACAGCTTCAGTGAATTAAAAAAATGGTAAATAAAAATAAAAGGTAGATAACTCATATATCCTCAATTATAAATACAAGGCCCTAAAGCTACTCAAGGCAGTTAATGATGAATTAAATGTGTGATATGAATGAAAGACGAGGTAGGAACTGGAGATTATGAGGATAAGGAGGATAGACAATGACTGAACTTGAAGAGGTTAAGATTGTAGTGTTTAAGAAAGCATCTACATGAGTCTTGGTTCAACAAAGTGGCAGTTCTTTAGAAAGTCAGAGTGGAATTTTCTTCTTACAGTTGGGACATAGAGGAAATGAGGATGATTCAACTCTGTGGAAGTAGCTCTAGCTGTAAAGGTCTGAACTGGTGAAACTAAAGAATGCAGCTCATTTTAACATTTGCCATGGTAATAGTGATAGATAAGCTTGCAATATCAGGTTTGTGAGCAAACAATTACTACAAGAATTGGTTTGGGGCCTGTTATCAGTTTATCACAGGTACTAATAGTTCATGTACAAATCCAGTTCTTTTATGTGCCATGTCCCTTAGGGACGTAGGTAATCATGGCCCTCCACCTTCTCCTGTCCCTTGTAGCTCTTAATAAATTTTGTCTATTTGTTATTTCTCCCAAACCCTGTTCTGCTATCCACTTAAGCCCATTAAGTATGTCACACATTGCTTTTCCCTGTCCCTCTCTCTGTTTTGTGAGTATCAGATTTTCCAAGCCCTCATTCCTCATTATGTTTTCCAGAAATTTCAGCTGCCTCTTCCTGATGTTAAGTATAAGTTTCCTCTTTGTTTCTATTCTCTCCAAAACCTTGTTGTTGCTCGTATGTTCGGCCTATAGTATCCTTAGCATCCTTCTGTAGAACCACATTTGTGTCACCTTGAGTCTCTTCTTCATCTTTGAGGAGATTGTCCAGCATTTGCTGTCATACAGGAGGGCAGATATCATGTAACAGTGGAGTACTTTTCTCTTTGTTTCCAATGAAACTTTCTGGTCTCGTAACACTTTACTTAGCTTTTGGAATGTGTCTTTGGCCATCCCAATATTTTTCAGATCTCAGTGTTGCATTTTCTGTCCTCTGTTAGAACATTTCCTAGATATTTAAATTTCTGTACCTGCTTGAATTTAGTGTCCCCGACCTGTAAATTGCATTTCAGACTCATCCTTTTACTGATGACCATGGATTCTGTCTTCTTGTAGTTTATGGTTAGTCCCTTCTTCTTGCTCTCCTTTGCTACCTTTTGTAGGTTTTGTACTTTCCTAAATGTAGTTAAAAAGTAAAAATTTTGAACAGTGATTTCCAAGACAAGCTGAGAAACCCTCTCAACTTGGAAGATTGCAACAAGACGATCTTCCTATTTCCATTTTCTTCATTTGGCATTGTTGGAAATGGATGATGATGATGATGATGATGTCTTCTATATAATCTGATACAGAGGGTTCAATCCCAAGGGATGGGTAGTGACAAAATTGAAATTAGAAATAGTTTGTTCCTAAAAGACATGAAAATATTACAAATGCCTCTCCTGTCCTCTCAGATGAAAATTCAGTGACGATATAAATATTTATTATTTCCAGAAACAAAAATGTGATACATATTGAAAACTGAACTGAAGCATAAAAAAATCTATTGGTCATGTGGAAATGAAGCACAAAAATGATCATTGGTTAAATTAAACTGAGCTATTAATTCATTGCAATACCAATTTGATCAGAGAAGAAACATTTGTTTTGAATGGATATTAAGGGTTGAATCATCAGCAAAAAGACTAAATGAGATACAAAATTAAAAATGGAAAAATCTGAAAATGCAAAAACTTCTTGTTTGTTTGAAAGAAACCATTTAATATTCAGTGAAAAGTATTTTTTTTTTTCTCTTTTTATGTTGTTTAGTTCTGGTAAAGAAGATAAACAATGAAAAAATGTGTGTTAAATTCTACCTTCATGCTAATATAAATTTTGTTTAATATTTATAACTGTATTCCTTTGGATCATGTTGATACATCTAAGAGAGGGACACTGTGTGGTCTGAGCAGCACACAGCCTCCATATATCATAACCTAAGCCTGCACCCTGAAGAGGTCACTCCAGTCTCACAACAAAAAGACTGAATTTTTACCAAACAGGATGCTACCTTTATCTCACAAGATAAACAGATGCCTGCTATATGCAATACAATAGCTGACCATATAAAAAACAATAATTGTAATAACATAATTATAATGTCTTCAGAGTCAGGCTTATGGTTCACGGGAACCAATTGTAACTATACCCTCCCAGGTTGTCCAAGATGTCTAATACTGCGGTTGATCACTGGAGTGATCTTTTCAATTCTGACCTGCCTTACCCCACGTTGTGATTGGTTGATCATAAGGAGGCCAAGATCGACTCGTTGTAAGCATCCTCATCTTGGGTTGGTCCAAGCAGAATGAAGACATACAGTAAAGCAGGAGAAAATAATACACAAATATAAAAAAAAAAAAAATTTACTATTTTTATATCAAGTACTGTATACAATGGTTTGTTAATAGTTGTTAGGGTCTAGGTGTTAGCATGCAGATGTTTGTCGACCCAACCCATTCCTAAATTGGTCGCGACAGTTGGTTAAGCTGGTAAGGTTTGGCTTGTGGACTAAACAATGTTTGTTTAACTGAGTTGGTAAGTTTAGCCTAAGGCTGATGTTGGAGGCTCATGTCAGCAGATAGTCATGTGTGTTGTCTCATGCTCAGTGGCTGGAACGGAGTCTTGGGGTGATCTCTCTACCACCTTGAATTTGTTTCGCACATTCGTATTTATTGATGTCTGCCAAAAAAACTGGTGTGTGTGTGTGTGGGGGGGTGATGAAGTTGGGGGATTGGTACTTCCTCCACTTGTCATCTTCATTGTTTTTGGTCCTGAGAAATGAATTATTTTCCAATTTGGAAGTCTCAGATGATGGCTGTAGGCATTATTCCACCTACAGCTTCTTCCTCCTCTTCTTAGCATCTCCCACTAATACTCCTCAGTGGGCGTGGACAGCTTCTTCACCTTCCTTGGTGTCTCATCTGTGCCTGCTACCCTTCAGTGAGTGTGGGCAATTCCTCCTCCTTCCTTGATCTGTCTTCTGCACCTGTCACCTCAACCATTCAGAGAAGACTAAATTTTTAAAAAATTTATTGTTCCAAATGCTATCACTTCATATGTGAATTAATACCAGTGTAGACATTTTTTCTGGTCTGGAAGTTGAATAAACAATTGGCCTTCTCCCCTTTGACCCAGAGACACTATCCCCAGGGAAAATCTTGCAGCTTACATTATGGTGACAATCATTTGGCTGAATATCAAGATATTGCCATGTGTTTTTATTAAAAAAAAAATTAAGTCAGCTAGTTATTGTTTTCAATCCTGACACTTCTGTAGAAAGATTCGCCAAGTCAGTTTTATATTATCCTTCCTGTACGAAATCAGACACTGGATACCTGGCTCTCATGTCCTTCAGTTCACATTAGAAACATTCCTTAAGTAACCTTTTTACCTTTAACTGGCATTTAAAATTTTATCCGAATCTCCGAATCTTGATTCTATGGACACGGTGCAAGCATTATCAACCTATTGTCAACACCTTGCCTGTCGTACAATTAAGTATTGTTCTTAGCCAGCCATTTGGTTCATTTTTTAATTTTCGATTCTCTGGAAACAAATTGTTTATCAGTCTATCGTTCTTGATATCCATTAACCCTTTTCATGGTAGTTAATTTATGAGTATATCGTTTTTGTTTGATATTCAAAAGCCCTTATTGTTAATTACCAGCAACCAAAATAGTGTTACATAATAAAGGAAAAGAGGTCAGTAAACAAATGATCAATATTAATTGTTAGAAAAGCAAGAAATAAAATAGACATTGAGAAAAAGCTTGTATAATTTTAAGAAGAGTTATTATCATTCTAACAGTTACTTAGACTAATGAACAAATTATTTTTGTTGTTAACATAATATTTTAACTGATCCATTTTTTTTAGAGATGTACAATCTATAAAAGGAAAGAGTGAAAGTTTTCTTCTACTTAGTGAGTAAATAATGTATAAACTATGAAATCACCAGTATAATAAAATACTGTAAGGATTGGTATAATGGGTTGATCAGATCAATATGTTAATCTGGAAACATATTCCCAGGCACCTCAGTCAGGTACCAAGTGGCACTTGATAGTGAAAATTTTATTTATACCTTTTAAAATTGAATAGACGCTCCGCATATTTATTTCATAAGATTTCTTGAATATTCATGCTGGGAGATGAAATTAAATAAATATACTATTTCTTAAACAGAGAATCTACTCAAATATGGGTATCCACGAAAAATTAACATCTAAGCAGTAGAAATATATTTTTTTAATAAATTAAAATATATATATATATATATATATATATATATATATATATATATATATATATATATATAAATAACATTTATTAGACACCATATTGTCCATCATAGATCATATTTTACTCAAATCTTTTGCTAACAAAAAAAAAAAAAAAAAAATCAAAACAATCTTCACTTTACTCTGCAAAGGTCAGAAATTTTAGGGGTATGGCTTACAGATTAAGGACACCAGTACTTAAATCTCCTCATTTCATTGAATATTTCTTGTTTAAGTTTAAATACTCCTTTGTTTGATGCAAAACAAACAATATAATTAAGTCTCTGTACCTTACAAGCTGTTACTAAAACAGAAGAGAAGGTAAAATTCAAACAAAATTCATTATTTTTCCTCCACTCTAAATATCTGAAGCTGAAACATGTGTAATACACACTTATGTTTCAGCAATATGTGCATTGTATAGGTTTGCCAACCATCCTCTATTTGAAAGGACAGTCCTTTAATTAACTCTTTTTGTTCTTGTCCTTTGTTGAATTTTGAAGGTTAAAAAAAATGTCCTTTTCAATTATATTGTGTATCTACAGGAATTAATTTAATAATTACTATTTATATACTTTTTTCTTTATATCCCTATTATAACTTGACAGAGTTGGCAACCCTAGCATTATGGCAGAAAATACAGCACATAAAGTTGGGCTAACACTGGAAATTTCAAATAAAATTGAATGATAATAAGACCATTACATATATACACTAATTATATCAACATAAGAATTTGATAATCATGCTTCTTGACAAAACAATAGTTGCTGTTTTTCACAATACCATAGGATCAGCATGCAACAAGTGTTATTTTTTTACCAATGTGTTTGATTTTTTTTTCTTTAAAAAAAAATGTATAGCATTAAAATGACAATCAACCCTGTAAGCCAGTTTTTCATTTATATCAACTCACATCTATTTTTCAGTCAAAAGACTTTTTCACCATGATATACACATTTTTATGTAAAAGAAACAACACATACATATGTGTGTAATATTTCTTTAACATTTGATATTATTCATATTCTTTCAATGCCATTCCTTTTAAACTCAGAGAAAAAAGTTTTGAAAAGACACCAACAATGTTTTCAAGTAATAAAAAAGTGTTTAGTGAAGAAGTGCAATATCCAAACCAGAGAATTGTATGACCAACCAGCTACCTTTACAAATAGAAAGAGTTTTAGTAGTAAAGGTGAAAAGAATAAAAGAACAGAAAGACTCTTAAATTGTAAATTCATTATATTATCAAAATGAATTATCAGAGAGTTCATTTCTTTATCTATTCATGATATATCATGAAAGCAGATATCCCTTTCACAAAATTCAGTAAATAGTTAATTTTTTCTCCTTTTCTTACACTTAAATATTAAAAAAATCTTCCCAATTTTTAAATTCAAAATTTAGATTTTTTTCCCCTGATGAATGCTTTTCAAGGAGTGCACACCTTTGCTAATACCACTGTCACTAAAAAATTAATCAAATTACAAATGTTATAACAGACTTATAACAACAAGGGAGATAAGTATATTGCTTTTTACGCAAGAGTTATCTTTCTTCACAATTTATAATTAAATAATGATAAAAAAGAATATCTCCTCTCTCAATGTTAACAAAATCGAAGAAAACTCCTGGATCTAACCCCAGATTTAATCAATTATTCCCTGTGCCATGGACCTTCCACAAATCGTCATGGAAATTCATTGATAACTTTTGGAAATGTCTGGATCAACAGATGAATAAGGGTGAATATATAACTATATTGACAGAGGTTGAATAGAACACTTCCTGCCACTTGGCTGAAATAATTAATAATATTATGACAGATGTTAGTTTTAAAAGCCAGTATTTTCAGTGCTGATTTTGCAGGCATGCAGGTTTTAGTATAAGTCTTCCTACCTACTCATTTCCCATAAATACTAAACTTAGTTTAGTACAAATTGAGATTTCTTCTTGCTAAAATACAAAATTCTTGAAAAATTTTAGGTGAAACAATTTAACAAAAATAAATTTCAGCAAATCTAGAATAAAACATGGCTATGAATAATAAAGTAATCAAAAAGCACAATGATAAAATTTACTTTTAAGATATTATCAGTGTTGATCTCATAAAGGCAATCATCTATTTTATTAAGATTTTTCTTTTCTGTATTTAAAATTTAAGCACAGTATTAGATTGACAGCAAGGTTAAATCATTTTATAGTTGAAATAGATTTAACTTTAATTTCTATGCTAATGGTTTCCCTCACACTTCTTGGTTATGGAACTCTCTTCTGGCTTCTTGCTTCCCAGTCAACTTTGATTTTCAAAAATTTAAATTCAGTATCAATTATTATCTTTTGTCTTCTTAATTCCTGTTCTTTTATTGCTCTCTCTCCTTAATAATATTTTTCTTTTATTCTTTCACATGAAGTAACCCCCTTGCATCTTAGTGGCTTGCTTGGAGTGAAGATGTTGACACATTATCAATGAAAAACATCTCTTGCCTAATAGGGAATATTGTGCACAATCATGAACACTATTTAACAAAAAATTGCTTTTATGCAATTTAGAGAAAATTAAACTTTTAATGCCTGGATAAATGTCTTAAATATGTTCCAAAAGTTGAGCAATAGGCTATAAAAGGTTAATGGTTGGTGGAGGCAGGCTAAATTAGGGGACTTGGTAATGGCATGAATTTAAAAAGTAATTCATTCTTTAAGGCAGTATTGATGTTGCCTTCTCACTAATGAGTTTTCAAGCTTAATTAAAATGGTCATACTATATTTAATTGGCTCTTTTTGGTAAAGTGGGGTTGAAAAAATTCATGGTGATCTGGCTTTTATTTGACAAAAAAGTAAAACAACAAATGATATGAAAAATTTAAGTATTAATGATTTTGTTTTATACAAAATCCAAGAAAAACAATGTATTTTACTGTACATTAATAAAACAGTGCTTGTCTCCTCTGTTTTTTCCTTTATGCAACCATGGTTAGAGAATAAAACATGTTAGGTTAATATTTCAACAGTGAGAATAATCATATTTCTATTTAAAATTGCATACATGTATAAAGAGGCTTCTCAATTGACAACAATGGCAGTTATGTTTAAGCAGCAGCAGCAGCAGTAGCATTGATTTAGTTTCAGCTTGAGAAACAAAAGGCAAGCCAAAAAGAGTGACAGTGAAAAAATAAAAAATAAAAGTAAAAAAGAAAGAAAATCACATCTAAATTGAAAGAAAAGGTTAAGAGAAAAAGATGATCGTGAAAAGAAAGTTAAAATGTTAAATTTTAAACACGATGCACAAGAAAAAAAAAAGAGTTAAAGATGCCAAAATCAGGGACAGAATTGGTACGAACCTGTTCTTGGGATTCATTAAACGTAAGGAGAGGACAATTCTGAAAAAACAAAACCAAGGCAATTGTGGTCTGAATTGGAAGAAGAATTACTGGGCCTCAGAACCCAAAGACAAGAACCCAAGTTTAGATAAGAGAGGAAGATTTAGCCACAGTTTTTGGTTTTTCTTTTTAGAAAGTCGAAAATCTCAACATGAAGTATTATAAAACTGAGTGAATGTTTCCTTTCAGAATTCAAATATTTTAATTTTTATTAGAATACAGTGTTAAATTAAAAGTTTCTAAATTTGACTAGAAAAATATTAATCTCAAAATCCAAATCCATGTTTAATAGTGTTATACCCGAGTGATAAGGTGGACTCACCTGCATGTGTATAAATGTGAGAATGAAAAGTGGAATTAGGGAAGACAACAAAAGCTGTAATTAGCGGCTGTCTGAGAAAATACAGTAGTAATCTATAGCTGGACTTACTCTAGGACTGACTGAACTCAACTAAGTAATAGATACATTACAACAAATAGAAATAGAAAATTTTAAGGAATACTGCCTTTAGATTGATTGTTTTTTATGGTTTATCAACCTTTTGCAGGTTATTTAATGCTAGAAAATATTTCAAGATTGTAAGAATTTTTTGGAGATAATGATTTACTGATACAGATCCTACTATTTAGGTGGGAGAGAAGAGGTGGATTCATACCTTTCCCAAAGTTATTTACATGTAAGTGAATATAATGAACTCAACCGGAATTGGAACTTGACACTGATTTCAAATTGCCAGCCATTATCCATTACACCACATGCACATCCAAGCTTACAGCACCTGATATTTCCAAGTGATCACACATCTAGGAACTGACCAGGCTCAATGTTGCTTAACTTTAGTGATCAGACAAGAACTGGTGTTTCAACGTGATATAGCCGTAAACCCTTGATGATTTTAGATAACTCCTTCATTGCTCTAATAAGTGATCCTTTAGGGTTCTCTTTGAATAATTTGGTACTAAGAAATTTTGGCATCATCTCATATGGCCTAGATCTAAATCTCCACTTGTGCAGCCAATTTGTTATGATTTAAAGATAAAAGAAAACACCAAATTTTTGTTAAATAATTTTAGAATCATTATAGAAATAATCATAGAATTTTACTTCTTTACTGATGCCCTTTGATAGAGATGGTATGCAAATAAATTTTAAGAGAAACTAACAATAAGGACCCAAATCCTCAAAAGATAATTAAGTGCATGTCAGTGTCTTGAGTGTTACAACCTGGGGGTGACACACCTCTTAAAATTATTATTATTTGATTTAATATCCTCTCCAACTCTTAGATGTTTTGACTGGTTGATGACGATCATACCTCAGCTCCTATCCACATCTGAGAGACACAACACTTGTCTTATCACTTTCAATAATATCAGGTATTGTCAAGACATCCTTCATCCTGTTTATCAGTCAATGTTATCCTTATTCAATTTGATATCCTCTCCAACTCTTAGATGTTTTGACTGGTTGATGACAAACATACCTCAGCTCCTATCCACATCTGAGAGACACAACACTTGTCTCAGCACTTTCAATAATATCAGGTATTGTCAAGACATCCTTCATCCTGTTTATCAGTCAATGTTATCCTTATTCAATTTGATATCCTCTTCAACTCTTAAAATGTTTTCAGCACAATAAAAGTTTCAGGTACCGTTTATCACTCAATGTCATTCTTATTCAATCTGATATCTAAGATGTTTCAACCAAAAGGACGCCATATATCTTCTGACTGCAATCAGCATTCAATAATACCATCAAAGGTGTCCTGTTTATCACTCTTTATTTAAGGTGTCCTGATGAACTGCAACAGTATTTTTAAAGTTGTTAACCAGGCCAAGACACAATTGTCACTTGGCATCCTTCAACATGGTTGATTCCTAACCTTAGTGAAGTGTGACTCATTATTGCCTTCTTGGTTTCATTTTCTTGAAATGAAATCAAGGTCTTAGGAAATCACTGTGTCACCATAGACTATTTTTCCTAACATTTATAAGTTGGACTATTCGTTTGTAGAGATTTTGAATATTGTCACCTGGTCTGGTGCTTCTGTTATTCAATCACTTTCCCATGATAATCCTGTGCCTTTTCTATTTTCATAATTGTTCATTCTTCCTAACCTTGATACAAATTTTCCAACTTGATTGGCAACTAGGTTTCATCAGTTGAAATGCTAAATGTAATCATAAGGCTAATATCCTCATGCTTTTCTTGCTTGACTGGCAACTTCAAAAATGTAAAGTAATGATTATCTTCTGTCAGCTTATTCTGCACAATTTTAAAAATTCTTATAGGGTTTATTTGAAAAAAGTCTCATCAAGGTGTCCTGTTTATCATCTCCTCATTTATTTAAGAACTTGCATGATAGACATCTTTAGTATATTTTTTATATTTAACCTTGATGAGTTACCATTTTGGAAACCAGGTGACAAGCATATTTTAAAGTTGTTGTAAAAACAAGGCCAAGAAAAATGAAATGGCTTGTTAATTTTAAAAGTCCTTCCAACAACAAAAAAATGGCTCACTTTCAATTGTCTTATAGAACAATTTTTGGCCTACTTGCTATCATCCTATTTCAACATGGTTGATTCTAACCTTCAGAAGTGTGACTCATTGTGCCTTCTTGGTTTCCCATTTTCTGCTGACATGAAATGGAAAGATTCTATCAAATCAGCTGCTAGGTCTGCCACTAGGAAAGTTGTGTCACTGTGTCACCATAGACTATTTTTCTTACACATTTATAAGTTGACTATTCGTAGAGATTTTGAATATTGTTATCACACCTGGTCTGGTGCTTCTGTTAAGAAGAATCTGCAATGTTATTGGTCCTGACTTGGCATCTCAGCTTCAGTCACTTTCCCACTGCTATAATGTAGCTTCCCTGTGCCTTTTCTATTTTCATAATTGTTCTGATGAGCTTTCCTCATTGGTACCTTGACTTTACAAATTTAAGTGCATTACTTGATTGGCAACTAGGTTTCATCATTTTGCAGTTGAAATGGCTAAATGTAATCATAAGTTCTATGCTAATAGTTTCTTCTCATGCTTTTCTTGCTTGTAGAATTCTCTTCTGGCCAGTAAACTTTGATCTTCAAAAATGTAAATGTAATGTCAATCATTATCTTCTGTCTTCTTAATTCCTGCACAATTTTTAAAATTCTTATAAAAATGAACAGGGTTTATTTGAAAACAGGTAAACAAAATTTCATTTAAACACATCAGAACACTTCCATATAGGTTCCAATAATCGTAAACAACACTTCTAGATGAATGTCAATTTTTAACCATGTATGTTGGAATATCTCCATACCATTGTAGATATGACCATAGAGGTTTTGAACTTTTGCATGATAGACATCTTTAGTATATTTCCATAAGAAGAAGTCTATAGGAATTGTATCAGGTGACCTGGGTGGTGACCAGGGAAAGTCCTTGATTGCCAGAGTACTACAGGTGGCCAACTCTCAAGAGAGGAGAACCATTTTGGAAACATTTTCTTGAGGAACTCCGGGTGAAACAGCCAACCAGGTGTCCAATGAGGTGGTGCATAATCGGCACCTGTTGGGAAAGAGAACTGAGCGTGAAGAGCAACTGGAGCAGACTGGCAATGGACATAACTCACTACAATGGTGAGAATTTTTTAACACTCATTGATTGCGGTCCTCCAAATTCGATTGTTGGAGAATGTTTTTGGAGCGTAGGCCCACCTACGGCAAATAAATATCAGTAAAGATTTTAAAGGCAACTTGGGACGCAGCACCATGTGTTTCGAGCCTACTCACAATAATCTGTGTCAGAACCTGTTTCATCGCAGCCAGGAAGGGCTGCACAGTTTCGAAGCGGTTTACTGGCATAATGTCGCCCGGCGATAACATTTCTACATCCACGGCACCCTGATATGCACAAATATATGTGTTTTGAACTATGACTATTTTATATATATTTTATGTGAGAAACTAACAAAGTGGAAAATGTTTTCTTGCAAAGTGTTTCAATCTGCCTTGAGTTTAGGACTTCGGGCGGACATTGGACTCAAACCACAGGCGAGAAAAGTGATGTTTACACTGATGTGGACCTCCCTGCCACTGTTTGTAAAAAGAAAAGACATATGCACATGATCGGAAAGGGACACTGAAAACTTCCTTCCAATTTGAAAACAAAATTATTTACGGAATTATTCGGAAAACTGTATATAGCAAATCGTGGTCGGGTCCGCGGTAAAAGCATGTCAGGCTATCTGACGGTTCCATATAGGATACAGTTACACACTTCATAGTTTGATTCCTGTTGGAGGATATATATTTTTTGAGAAACTAACAAAGTGGAAAATGACAATGTTTTTTCTAGACATTCTGAGGCTGCACATGATGGAAAGGGGAATGTTGAACATTATTTAATTATTCGAACTGTTTATTATGTAAACAGAGCATTTGATTCCTGTTGAAATATTTTTTGTATCTATCAAAAAAGAATGTATAAAAACATAAATATTTGTCTTAAAATATATATATATATATATATATATATATCTCAATTGACTGCAGCAGAAATTAAATGAAGTAAGGTACTGTTATTAATCAGATATGTTTCTCAGACTAATATCCCCATCTTTGTTGCTTTTATAACATTGGATCAACTATCTTTTTGCTGGTGAGATAAAAAAAAACAAACAAAACAAAGCCAATAATGAGGATGCTTATCAAAGTTGTTGACTAAGTCAAACAGAAATATCTACTTCTATTGATTAACTGAAAAAGGAGAAATGCTGTAGTATTAGTGATGTGTGAGAGAAATGGCATAATCTTGGTGGGTGAAATTGTTGCCCACTTTCTACTTGTCAAACTGATTTGTGTCAAGATATTAAGCAGACTTTGAAAGCAAATTGGTCCACTACAATTTGAAGAGTGATTATTTACACCATTTAAATCATCCGGACTGTTGTCCTCATCTTTATTGCTATATTCATGATATTTTGCCTGTTGTACTCTCCGACCTTCTTCAGGTGATATATGTTGGAATTTCAAACCAAACTCCTTATTTAGTCCACTTTATATCACCTGAAGAAGGTCAGAGCCAAAATGTTGTGAACATAGCAATAAAGATGAGGACAACAGTCCGAACGATGTAAATAGAATACCCCAGAAATATAGACAAACATTGAAGAGTGATATAAAATCTTTCTAAGTTTAGTAAATATCGACAACCTCCTCTGTTCCATATTAGTTGTCAAATTTGCATCGACTGAATGTAACAACTATTATAGGATGGTAGAGTGTTACAGAGTAAGTGTCACAGTTTATGAGGATATGGGGAAAAGATAACAGTTAACACTAGACTTGAATAGTTTAAAATTGAGGTAATTGGGAAGTCAGTTCCAAAAAGCAGCAGTTCATGGGAAGTAACTTGGAGTGGAACTTATATCTCACCAATAGAATACAAAAGAAATGAGGGTGGTCACTACAATGTGTGTGGTATGGCAAATTTTAGCCATGAAGATTAGAACTGGTGGAAATAAAGAATGTAGTTTGTTTGAACACTTTTCATGGATTAGCAAGAGTCTTGCAATGTTTTATCTGTGGGAAAGAGGTTGTAGGGCAGAAAACCATTTATTACCCACAAGACCATGTAGATGCTTTTGGATTGAGACTGAGTAACTCCTGCCCATATATGGCAGCAGTATTCCGTTTTTAGCCTGGCCTGTCTCTTGTAAAGGTAGAGCCACATTGGATTAATGGATAGCCACTCAGATTGAGGAATCGGAGAGTCAAGTTTGAATTCCAGTCGAGTTCATTACATTCACTTACATGCTAATACCATTGAGAAAGTTATGAAGCTATCTATTCCCCTCTGATATGGGTAAATAGCAGCATAGATTTGGTCCTATAGCCTTGGTTGGCAACCAGTCTAGGAGAAGGAAAACTCTGAATTTAAACCAATCTGGATAGAGTTGGGCTCCATCATGCTGTCTTGCCCAAGGAACACCACTGCTGCTGTGGTTGTAGTAGATGTGGTACCCCTTTGTCCCTAATCGGTTATAGGATTTGTGATCATGAAAGGTACAGTATAGCCGGTAAACTCTGGTACTTACTGTAGTGGAGCAGGGGACCAACCATTTTCCCAGTATCTTTAGTGAAGGATTACATGTATGTGTTCCACTTGAGGTCTGGGCTGAGCTTAAGTCTCAAGAAGGGCTCAAGGCACAGAACCTCCCTGAGAGAATACCTGTTCATTGCGATAGGTAAAAATTCAGAGTTTGCTTGTTGATGATAGAATGTCATTAGTTTGTTTTTGTGGTACTGAATCCAGCCAGTTCTTTTCCCCATTGAGTTATTAAAGATAGTATAATTTAGTGACTGTCTAGATATGATAAAGTGCTGTGAAAACATCTTATTTTAGATACTATTTGCTTATAATTCAAATTGTTTTTGAAAATAGAAGGATTCAAAACTTATGAACAATTGTTTAAGTTGAGTCTTAGTAGGCTATGTGTACCAAAACTGTAAAAATTATACTATTAATATATTTCAAGTTGTTAACCTTAATGCTAAAACAAATAATTCAGGCTTTAAGTAATTTCAAATACTTTTTTCCTTTTTAAAATACAACAGTTTCAAATCTTTACAAAAATATTCTTTACACAAAAATCACTGACGTGATAGATAAATAAATATATAAAATGAAACTGAATTAATTTGGAAATACTAATTAACACCAAAAAAAAATGTGTTGGTAACTTAACAAGATTTTTAATTTGTCTTAAATTGAGAAAAAAAAAAGAATTTAGTTGTGGTTCTTTCCAAGGAATGAAGTTCCAATAAATTTATTTCAGAAAACTTTAAAATCTTTCTGAATTTTAAAATTGTCTCTGATATATTTATTCCAGTGTAATGCTCAAAATCTTTTCTTCTTTTAAACTGAAAAAGCAAACAATTTAGGAGTACATTTACACAAATGAAGGAAAAAACAAAGAGAATAGGGAAGGAAATGTCAAATGTCCCATCATGCATTTCAAAGAAAATATCATTCCCCATGACTTTTTTTTTTATTGCTGAAGAAGAACAGAGAGAAACAGAGAACAGGCCAAAGCAGTATGCCCACAGAACATGCTATCTTTTTTTTAGGCAAGCCTAGCAAATTGTTCCCACCATTATATGGCATCATTGTACAAATTCTTCTTTTCATTTGATAGATTCATGAATATATGAATAAACATTTAACAACAAGGGAGATAATCAAGATATTCTTATACTCTAATGAAGTATCTAGTTTTTTGAGTTATGATTAAGGAAGTTTTATTTTCCTGAAATCTTGAATCTTATCTTTTTGTTCTGTAATAAATGCTAAATCCTAATTAAAATAAAGACAATAAAAATAAAATGAGCTATAATCATAAAATTTTAAAGCCGTTATAAAGTCAATATATTATGAAAATGTTGGCCTCTGCTTATTTCCTATATATGCTTTTAATATTTACTATGTCCCTAGGTATATAGAATCATTAGTGTGAATAAACCTAGATTTCTTACTATACATGTTATCATTAGAGTGGATAATCTATTTGTTTAATAAACCTTATCAGTAATTTATCATAGTTTCACAACATTTACTATACTATGTAAATAATGGTTTATATAAAACTATATTCAAGTCAATAACCTTTGAAATATTAAAATTGTGACAAAATTTTAATTTAGCAATTATCTGGATTTGAATCTGGGGTTGTATTTGAATCTGAAATTGTATAAGAACAGAAAAAAAGTGATTTTAAGAGTGAACTGTTAAACAATTTCAGATTTCAATATCAGACTGATATTTGAAAATGATTTTTTTATAATTAAAGCTACTATTAAAGAAAGAAAAATATTCATATCTTGGCTATCAAATCTTCAGTTTCTCTTTATGTAAGAAAAACAATTGCCAAATAATCTAGAATTATTTAATTAACCAGAAATCAAATAAGAAAATATTTACTGACCAAATAAAATAAACAGAACAATTAGGTTTTTTTTTTTCTCTAAACATACAAGAAAAATTAAAAATAAATACTTATTTCAAAGTGGAGTCATAACTATCCATAAGAGGTAATAAATTTTCACATACAGACATTTTTTGTAAGAATAATTTTTTTGATGTAATAAATCACAAGTTGAAAACCAGCAGTCAAGATGAACATATATAAGAATGATGCCCAACCTAAACTCTAACAGGATTTTTTTTCTTTTTGAATAGAAAAAGAAATAGTTTAAAGAAAAATTTAAAGGGAAAATAACTCCTGTTATAAAAAGAATTGTAGAAAGATATGGTGACAATTATTTTACCTCCTGGTCAGAATCAGTGGCTGTGTCGTCTGAAACAGATTCCGATTGGTCCCACTCAATATGTGCTGGATTTCCATTTTCAGGTGGGTGGGCATTGACAATAATTACTTGTTCATGGGGTTTTACCATTCCACAGTTTCTAGCTACACTGATGGCAGTCAGAATCATGTCACCTGAAAAATAGAGGAAAACAGGTAAAAGAAACCATATAAGAACAATATTAAGTTCCAGATTATTCTTTGTAATATTCTACAGTAAATTCAGGAATCAAATAGTCTGACTGAAACAAAAATCAATGATGTCATACTAAAATCAAAAGGTAAATTAAAAACTAATAAAAGAAAAAAAATAGCATATCTGTAATATTATACCAACATACTTTTCAAGGGTATTAGCACTTAAGTGAATATAATGGATTTGAATTCCAGTCGAATCCATTACATTCACTTACATGCTAACACCCTTGGGAAAGGTATGAATCCTCTTCTTCTCCCTCCAGCTATGGCTAAATAGCAGGACAGACTGGGTCCTATAGCCTTGGATGGCAACTAGTTTACTGTAGAAAGAAATGGCAACCCACTGTGGGAAAAAATCTGCTTCATCAGTCATGTATCAAAAGATACATGATTGCCTAAGCATGTATCACGCATGGCACATAACTAACTGACTGACTGATATCCAAACTATTGTCCTCATCTTTGTTGTTGTTATCACAATGTTTTGGCCATTATGCCCTCCAGTCTTATTCAGCTGTATATTGATCTGGGTAAACTACAGGGAATTCTGAATTGAACCCTTTAATCTACAGGTAGATGGTTTTTGTTCCACTGCCCATGTCTAAGGATATTGTATAGTTCTTATTTTAAGTACTGCTCAGTTATTGTTCACCTGTTTCCACTGAGTTTAAATACACACTGCCCAACCCAGGGATTGAACTTACAATCACTATATTACTAAATCCACAAACCAACACAGGCATTGTCCCATAGAAATGGTGTGTCAAAAGGATAATTATTCCCTTGACAATGCTATTACTATATACAATTTTGACACACAATGTTTATTTACAAGATTATAAAAATATATGAGCTAAACCTAATGCAATATTTATTACCTAAGTTTTATAAAGATTTATTAATTACCATTTTAAAAAGAAATAAATTTGAAAAATATTTTATTCAAAAATTTATAAAAGAATTACAAAATTACCAAAATACATAAACCAACTACAATGCAATATTTGCAGTAAAAATTAGACATTCTTTAATTATACAAAAGGAAAATTTTATCCACCCAATAAATAGGAAGGTACAGTATACACTGAAAATATTGAGTGTTTATGGTTTCACCTAAAATCTAAAGTTAAAAGAATGTTTGGTTTAGAGAATGAGATGCTCTTAACATAATTTTAGTGAATTTATGTGGTGAGAACAAATGAAAGAATTCAAAAATTGACTTTCCCCAAACTCCATGGCTCGAGACATTGGGGATGGTAATGCAAGACTGAGCAGTGTGGAAAGGGATTGTTAATAGAGTTCTAACCAACCACTGGGAGGTTGAAGGATGATGATTGGCAGGGGTTAACTATTAGCCCATAGATGGGACCCTAACAGGGTGGACTTTGGAACAAGAGCAATTAAGATGTGGTTCCTCACTCCTCAAAACCTGCTGATCAGAGGCCTTGCTACTGTTTGTTGTTATACCTAGGACACAATAACATGAGTACATGTCACCATTACGTGATTATGTACATGAAAGAGTGAAGAAATATTCTTAACCAGATGAAGAAGGAATTCCAAAATGAATTCTATTTAATACAGCAGATAATTAGATAAGTGTTACGGGACCTTACCCATAATAACATAATGGACTATTCCATATGTAATAAATACTGCGCCTCAAGAGGAAGCAGGGAGTTCAGTCTGAAGTCTGGAGCGAAGTCCATCAGTCAGTCAGAGCTAGTCAGAGGCAGTCCGAAACAGAGTCGTATTCAGACAATTACTACTAAACCTGATTGTTCATACTAACACTTTCTACTTCACTGTATATATTCCTGTTTGTAATATATCTGTGTTATTCCATACCTGTGTTTGAGTTCTTCTTTATTGGTTCTACCTTGGACTATCACCATGGTACAAGGAACCAGACCATAACAATAAGATTTCAATGGGTATTAATCATTTAAAATATCTTAGATAAAAGAAAAAGAGAAATTAAAGTAATTATAATATCAATATAAATGCCAAAATTTAATCCACTGGTAATATATAATTTTAAAACTACTTATTTTTCAGACATTAACAGATTTTATATATATATATATATATATATTTTAAGCTTTTCACCTTAAGCAAAGCGAGAGTGCCACTAGCAATGCAAGGGGTTACAGAGAGTGGGAACAAGAGTAAAGAGGTGTGAAAGAGGAAAGGATGAAGAAAAGAACAGGGAATAATAGATCAAGGCATCTGGAGATGTTGATTGACATTGCATTTGAATTGTTGGAGATTATAACTATCAGAGAAGCAAGTAAGAGGAAGGGAGTTCCACAGACAGGAAGTGTGAGACATGAAGCTATTGGAGTAGAAGAGATGACTACATTTAATCATTTTGACAGTGAAAGGTGGGACTGAGATGCCAACCTAGTAGTACGTTTAAATTCATGCAGTTTGGGAACTAGTGACAGTAGCTCGTCAGAGCAGTTACCATGAAAGTATTTGTAAAATAGACAGAGGGAAGTGGTTGCATGTCTGTGAGAGCGACTGTAAATGAAATGCCAGATCAGGGTCAACTGCATTGTATATCCATCTCTGGATTTTGTCAAGGACCTTAAGACGAAAACAGTGGCTCCAGATCATATATATATATATTTTTTTTTTTATAAGCATTTCACCTCAAGCAAGGCTGGAAGCCACTACCATGCAAGGGGTTACATAGGATTTGGAGCAAGAGCAGATAGGAGTGATAGAGGAAAGATAGCAGCAGTATTCCATATTTATATTTAAAAATATTTTTTCATCACAACATGGAAATTTCTGTTTCAGAACCATAAATTTGTTTTATTATCAAGCGATATTGAGTAACTTTTAAACAAAATGATTTACTTTTGTTATGATGTTGATTTGGGGTTAGTAGAGACAAACGCCAAATAACACGTAACAATAAAAAGGGTTTTAATAGGTTGGTAAAAAGGTACAGAAATCGCCAGAGTAGTCAATAACTAGCTCAGCTAAGAACTTCTCTATCTGTCTTCCCCATGTCAACTGACATGCCACTATTTAAAGTCTTTGTTCACAGACGCAGACAAGTTCATCTTCAAGAGGGGTGGTAGGTTTCCGACACAACTTTTGACTTTTTAAAGCAGAGTGGTATTATATTGAAGAGTTTAAGTAGGAGTGGGGAACAAGATTTCAAAATTTTATGGGTGTGTATGTATTTGACAAATCAAAAGACAGTTATAAGCTAAAGAAGAAAAGTGAAAAAATGTAGGTTAGAAGGTTAGGTGTGTGTATGTTATTCATACTTGGCTGGATGAGCCATCAAGTATAGGCACCTCACCATTACTTCCAGTTAAGAGTATATTCATAAGATACAATGAAATAAAACAGAGATATATGTATCCAAAAATGGGTTAATTTCAAGATTTTTTTTAAAATTATTTTTATATTTACTTTAGGACTGTCTTAAAGGGGCACCTCTACTATGATTAAAACATTTTTATATATTTAATTATTATGATCTAAAATACAATACTCATTATATTCAATGGTTCAATTAGACATGGCAATGTTAAAATTAAAAGTCAAGTAATTAAGTAACTATTATATCTACCATTATATGTAATCAAATAATAGATATATAATTATAATATATAGATTTTTTTTTCATCAAAAATCTTATTAACTGTATTTTAATGTAAACATTGTGCAATGCCTACAAAATACAGTTAGTTCATTTCATTGATTTAATAGATCGTTATTTTTAGGAAACTTAATAATATATAATTTTTCATACATATATAGAGGACAGGCATCATTTAATGACCAACAAATTTTTTTTTTTTTTTTTAATAATTTCGATTTTTACTGTGGGAAGGAGGTGGGGTGTTAATGATTTCTTTTAAACACCAAAAAATATTTAGAGAGGATGTTCAATTTATATATATATATATATATATATATATATATATATATATATATATATATATAAGTTACGAAAGAAATAAATAACATTAAATAACAACTATCACCCTCCCTGTTAAATTACAAAATTACACTACCCATCAATTTCTAATCCCATTTTTCCTTTCATTTCGTTGTTGGAAGTGTTACCTGATGATCCGGAGTCCTTTAAAAGGATTTTGGTGAAATAAATTATTGTAATGGTACCTTAAAAGTGGTCTGTTTTTCATTAAATATATATATATATATATATATTTTAAGATATTAAAACATGTAAAAATCGCTACACAATTGCAGTTATGTTTTAACACATGAATGCGTCTCCTCAGGCAATTGTAAATTACTGGCAAGTGAATGATTAATTCAGTCTTAAAAGCAAAATATATTCTCTTTTTTTGGAAAAAAAAAAAAAGTGGGAGGGGTTATAAGGATTGAGGGCATTACCCTGATCAGCCAATCAAATATGAACTATATTTGATTCAAACTATATGAAAAGAAAAATTAAAAGTTTCTTAGAAATGGGTCATCTTATATATATATATATATATATATATATATATATATATATATATATATATAGAGAGAGAGAGAGAGAGAGAGAGAGAAGAATATAGAAATATAGTATATTATATTTATAGGTTAAGGTGCTCAATATCAGTGATAGAACATGTAAATATAAAAGTGAAAATTGAGGTCAACACTATTTTGTTGTTGATCCTCAAGTTGTATATTTTTTTCATGCTCTGAAATTTTTACATTTTACCTATTTTAATAATTAAAACTTGAAATTGAATATTCCCACAAAACTTATGTTTTTCATAAGACTTCAAAATATAAACAAATCTGTAAAACGGTTTCCTTATTTTAAGCATATTTTATACAGCAACTACTTTTATGTTTTCTTTCATTAAAATCACACAAGTGTTAAGAGCAAAAAGATCCAAGAGAGGTGTGGAAAAATAGCAATGAAAAAGTTCAGAATCAAAAGTAAAAAATCACAGGTCGTAATTCTAAAGGTCATGGATCAGTCTTGCAAGTCCAAAGTAAAAAAAAAAATATTGGGGGTGTAAATCAAAAGTGAGAAAAAAATCTGTATCCACAGCTCACAACTACTTTTTTCACTCAGGAAAAACAGAAAATATGTTTAGCATTCTTTTATTGGGGTAAGTAAAGCAAAAATTACCATATTTCAAAGCAATGAGAATAGACCTGATCTTGATTTTCTTTTTCAATAGACAGCACAGATATCACAAATTCTTTTTCAAGCTAAGACTTTTGTGGTTTCCTTCATTGCAACAAAATAGAAATATTAATTAAGATTATGAAAGGTACCATGTTTCATGGTTTCATGTAGCCACATACTCTCAAAGTAGCAAATGAAGCTGCACAGTCTTCCGTTTCCAACCTTGATAGAGTCCAAAAGCTTTCTGCTCCCTGTGGGTAACAAATTATTTTCTACCTTATAATCCCTTTCTCACAGATGAAACATTGCAAGCCTTTCACTGCTCTATCGCGATTTCCATAGAAAGTGTTCAGATGAACATACCTTAGTTCCATCAGTTCTGACCTCCACAGCTAAGACCTGCCATGCCACGCCCATTGTAGCAAACCACTCTCTTTCTCATCATATTCCATCGGTGAGATGTAAGTTCCACTTGAGCAGCTTCTGACCACAAATCGCTGCTTTGTGAAACCAAATCCCAGGAATAAGCTTCCCCAATCATTACATTCTTAACTTGTTTAAGGTAAGGGTCAACTGTTATTTCCCCCACATAACCCTATTAACTGTGCCTCTTACTTTATAAGCATCTACTAAGAGTGGCTCTTTGGCCCTGTACATAGGGAGCATCAATGTAAAAAAAAAAATAATAATTGCTACTGTAATATTATGACAATTTTAATGGTATCCTGGAAAAACTGAATTTGAAAAAATTCTATGTCCTTTTAGGATGTTGGGGTTCATGGCCCTCTTAATTTTCTTTAATATGCATGAATTGCCATGACTTTAATAGCATGCTCAATTTTAAAAAGATAAAAATAATCCAAGGGAAGTAATTACGAGAAAAAAATGAATTAAAATAATTACATAAATAAGATTAAAAAAATAGATAGAAAAAAAGGTAATGATTTCTTACCTGTCACCATTACAGAACGAATATTTGCTGCTTGCAGCATTTTAATAATTGGAGCAGATTGAGGCTTTAATGTATTCTTCATGACCAGAAGTCCCAAGAACTTGAGATCACATTCCATTTTGTCTCTGAAAAAATAAACAATTGAAAGCTGGGTGATATTTTGGATTAGTCTCACAACTTATATAGTATTTTACTTAGTGATAAGTGTTTTAGCCTGGGTAATAAACCAGGACTTTGAATACTGATTTTTCAAATAGAGGCCAACCCCATTTGGAAAAAAAACTATGCCCAAAGTCTTCCTACTTCCATTTTCTTCACCTTTAGCTCCATACCAAATTAAACTAAATGAACACAGAAAAGACAGAATTTTTCATGCTGATTTTCAAGGAAGGAAGGCAGGTACCTTAGAAGATTTACTTACATTTCCAAACATTTGGCCTCATGTCTGACTAAATAAAGCTTATTAAATATCAATATACAAGTGATATTGTTATTTCTCTTTGAACTTTTTTTTTATGAAGAAAACATTTGAAACCTTTTAATACAGTAAAGGAAATAGGAACCAGGTTTAAAATAAAAGATAAAATGACAACCAATAAGTAAACTAGATTAAGAGAGAATGAATGGATTCTTGTATTCTGTAAAAATACACTCCCATAACACAGGAGCTCATCTTCCGTAGGTGATGTTTTAACCAATTAGGTTAACAAATCTTATGATTAGACAGATTTCTCAGCTGTTAGTTTTCTGCCAATGTCTTTCTTTCCCCCAATTCTATTCTATGCCATATTATTGACTATCTAGTAACATTCATAATAATATTAACCTCTTGAAACTTTCTCATGAAGTAATTTGCTGATTACAAATATTTTGACTCATTTTTTTCTATATACTTTTAGTTTTATTAAAGTTTTTTTAACAGAAAAAAAAAAAACAGTTGCTTCAACATGATTCAAACTTTCATCCCATAACAAGGAGCTCATCTATAAGGAATGGTCTCTTAATTAAGGAAGCTACCTAAGCTGTTATAATCACAGTATTCTGTAACTCATTGAGTTTTCAATGTGTGTGCTGTGTGAAGACAGGCAGGCACCTTGGAAGTTTAACAGTTTTCCAACTTAAATTTTCAAACATTTGGCCTCATGTCTGACTAACGAAAGCTCAATATATGAGTGATATTGTTATTTCTCTTTAGACTTTGTTTTTATGAAGGAAACTTTTGAAAACTTTTAATTCAATAAAGAAATGAACTAATAAGTAAAATAGATCAAGAAAGAATGAAAGCTGTGTTGTATTTTGCAAAAATACAATTCTTTTTGAATAACAAAAATATATTTTTAATCAATTCACCCCCAAGCAAGGCAATAACACAAGGGCTGACTGAGTGTTAGAGAATATGAGAAAAAGTTCTATTAAGGAGAGAGAACAATAAAAGAACAAGAATTAAGACAGAAGATAACAACTGACATTGGATTAAAATTTTTGATGATCAAAGTTAACTGGGAAGATTCTTCTTTGGATTTTATCAAGAATCTCTAAATATATAGCAGGAGCACCAGGCAATATTCAACACATGGACAAATGGTAGACTTATAAATATGTAAGATAGAGTCTGGCAAGTAAAAATTGTTTAGCATGACAGGGAACCAACTTTACTAGCAGTGGACTTAAAAATTGATTCAATATAATCTTTTCACCTCATATCAGCGAAGATCTTAGCCCAAGAAGGCACAATGAATCACTCTCCTGGAAGTTAGCATCTGCCATGCTGATGGAAGATAAAAAGGCTTCTCTCAGACGATTAAAAGAGAGCAGTTTCGTTTGAGGTGTTAAAATTAACAAGCCATTCTTTGCCTCAGTTAACAATAGAATGTAGATCATTTTTAAGATCAGCTGCCAATTTGGTCTCATTTAATTTGTTCAGAGTTACTATTAAGGAATAAATGTTTGTAAGATTAGCATAGATACTGAGTTGAGAACTGATGATATCAGGAAGGTCATTGATGAAAATTAGGAACAATGTAAGTCCAAGGATATAGCCCTGAGGGACACCTGCATTAATGAAAAAATATCTAGAAGTGTGGCCATTCAGGGTAACTTTCATTTTGTGATTTGATAAGATTGAATCAGTTCAAAAATTTGTTCAGTAATACCATAACTTTTCAACTTGTGAAGAAGACCAGTATGCCAAACCCTGTCAAATGTCTTCAAATTATCCAAATAACAGCCCCGGCTTCTCCATTCTTATCTAAAGCTTGATAGACATTCAGAAAAAATTTAATTTCTTACTGTTGTCTTCTTACACAACATTCTTTAACTGATAAATTTTTTGGCACAACTTTGGACCAGACTAAATTGAATATCCCACTCCAGTAAATAGGTGAGCAATACCTAAAAAATGCTAAATAAAATAGACAATATCCCTAGATATGAGTAATGGAATGAGAGCAGTTAGCCTCCAGATATTAAATAAAGTGTTTATTCCAGAATTCCATGTAGGTTACTGAGATTGATATATACCTGAGGAAGGCTGTAGGGTACAATGGCTGAAACTTTGTGATAAAAACAACAAAGATAAGGATAGTTCAAAATAATGATAACACATCCCAGAAACTGAGACAAAAACAAAAAAAAAAAAACAACAAAAAACAGAAACAAGTCAACAACAAAAACAACTCAGCAAAAGCCAACAAAAAAAACTCCAACAAAATAAAAGATACCAAAAAATACCAATAAACAAAAACATCCACCTACCAAACAAAAGACAAATAAATAAAAAAATTAAGAAAAACAAAATAAAAAAAATGGAAAACACTGGAAACTTTTGCATATACCTAATAATAATCTAAAATCTCTTAATAAAATGGTTAAAGGCAACAAGTAAAATAAATTTTGTCATTTCACTTGATAAAATTTGATTCATGTTTTTAGAGGAATAAATTACTGAGCCAGAAAATAAGAAACCTGTTTATTCTTTGAGCCTGATGCCAAGTTAGTTTAGGGTCACATTCTTTCCATGCCAAAGCAAGAACCCGGAAACCTTGGATTGTGTATTTGTGCAAAACATCAGCAAAATCAGAAGGAACTGAAATTAAAAAAAAAAAAAAATTAGTGCTATAAAACAGATTTGTAGATTTTAGTTATGAGATAGTAATTTTTAAACAGTATCCTAACAAAAAATATACATTGAAAGAAACATGATACTGAAGTATTAGTAGAAATGTAAAATTATAAATGATATCAAAAGACAAAAATAAATTGTCAAAAAGCATGCATAGATTTTAGGAAGAAACTTCCCTATACAAAAGATGTGTGTGTGTGTGTGTGTACAGAAAAACCTCTCATTAACGGACTAATGGGGAGGGGCAGTTAAAACCAATTGTCTGTAGATGGAAAGGGATTATTTTTGAGTCATAAAACCACTATAGTTACTACCAGTAGTTATGATCATAATGTAAATACTATAAACATGTATATATGTCATAAATATATACTGTACTGTGTGTATATATATATATATATATATATATATATATTATATACACTATATGTATGCTATATGCTGAAACATACTTCTGATGTAGAAGGCTGCTTACAGTACCCAGCACTCCCAAGTTGACTGCCATCTAAGGGCTGAGAGTTCATTTTTTGGGGAAAAATAGAAAAATGTCATTTACTGTTCTCTGAATATTAGTAAGTATAGTGAATCTCAACCTTTTTAGCCACTTTCATTATATTTCAGAAAACCATTCTCCACCTCTTCAAATTTCATTTTTTCTTGAATGTTTAAACATAGATATTTAAAACAATAAACATTGCTGATGGAGTTTAAGGATTATACAGTAATAGCAATGTCAAGAGAAAAAAAAAAGTCCTTTTGAAACAGTTTTTTTTTTGGTGGGGAGGGTACTTAGGCTAAAATTTGCCAAAAGATTATGTTGAAAAATAAGTATTTGCTGAGTAAAATACTTGTTTTTTGTCATTAACCTATGGAGATTGATAACCTACATAAGTGTAAGTTGATTCTTCAAATTATTTTTCTTTAGTGATTGAAGAAGTTTGAGTAAATGGAAATGGTTTACAGAGTACTTACTGGTCTCTGGAAGGCATAAAGAGGCTATTTTCTCTGGTGCCCCTTTGCTATAAACATCCATGTGGGATTTGCCAAGAGTACGGGCAATGACACTCATTCGCTGAAGTGTAGAGGAGAAGGTGAACTGGCGGACAATGCCAACCTCAAAGGGCGTCTGTTGTAAATTAGAGAAGTATAAAATGCTATTGAGAAATTTCCAAAGATATGAAAGCAAATAGAATTACAAAAATGAAAAAGAAAACCACTTGAAATAAAATCATGTAATAATAGGTTGGTAGGTTAATTTAATAACATATTAAACTTTATTAGGTTATTTAATAACATATTAAACTTTATTAGGTTATTTAATAACATATTAAAGTTAGGTTATTTAATAACATATTAACCTCTGTTGGGTTATTTGACAAAACTTGAATAAACAGATAGGTAGACATAAGTCTGTTTTTTGGGCACTTTGATGTGGTGCAATTGTTAGTAAGCTTGTCTTATTAAATCAATTATAACTGAATAGTGAGTTTGTTTCTCACTGTGTGTCCTATACTTTCGGCCTTGTGCTACATCTAAGCTATAATTAGACTATCACCATAGGTTTGATTTATACGAGTAATATAGTATACAAGAGTTGGATTTATACTCAACTCTACAAACATCCACTTGATGCATTCTAAGCACTTTTGACTAGAGCAATGAAATATTAGCCATTTACTCAATACAAGGCCCAAGAGCCACTCAAAGTAGAGGGTTACTGAATGAATTGTAAGATATGAATGTAAGAGTAGGAAGTGAAGGTTATGAGCATATGGAAGATAGGTAACAATTGACCTATGACTAATTTATTAAGACTGTAGCATTTGGGGAAGCATCTACGCGGGAATATATTCCACAAAGTAGCAGTTCTTGGAAAAAAAATGTCCAAGTTGAACTTCCTCCTTACAATTGGAATACAGAGGGAATGAGGGTGGTTTAACTCCATGGTTGTAGCATGGAAGATATTAGCTGTAAAGGTTTGATATGGTTGAACTAAAGAATGGAGCTCATCTGAATATTTACTATTGATGTTACTATTTTATCTATGAAGCAGTTCATGCATATAGACACACTATTTATTGGTAAAGAGAAAGTTCCAGTCAAACATCTTTGTCAGAACTGTTGCTTTGTAGAACAGACACTCAAGAGGATGCTTACACCCATCACTATAATCTTAATGTTTTCAAGTCTAGGGTCAACAGTTATCTATCTTACATATCTTCATAATATGCACCCCCCCCTTATGCCCTTGCCTCATTCAATGACCCTCAACTTTGAGTTGCTCCTTGCATTTAAAGAAAAAGAAAAAAAAAAAAAAAAGGAAGGAAATGAAGAATTTTTGCACTGATATTCTGAATTATGTTGTCAGTGGTTGGGGTCTTCTCACCATTAAAAACAGCATTCAGAATATTGAAATTTTTACCTAAGCTTGAACACTGACTACTAGCATGAATAAGAAATGTTTAACTTGTATTTCAGTCACAAACCAATCCTGATAATGTTTATTATACAAGCATCCAATTTTTATTGTTCTTTTTCCTTTAATTAAAATCCCATTCTGATTGGCTAAATAAAAAACAAAGACAATAAAATATTGATAATTTAAAAAATTTTTTTTTTTTTTTAACCCAGAGGAAAACAATTTTCATAATCACTTCATCTTATTCCTTCAGGGTAATTTATCACATCATAAAGTATCTTTAACTTTATTAAATCAGCTTATATAAAAAAAAATATCTTTGGAAATTTGAAATATAGAGTAACTTTTTAACTGTCAATTTTTTTTTTTTCTGTAGATCACATGTGATATTCACACCCCAAGGAGATGATATGTAATTTCTATTTAAGATTAAAATTTGCAAATTAGTTTTCTATGTCTTTCTGTTAATTACTGAATTGTTCTATTATTGATACATTACTAAGGTTAACTGGTGCTTTCCAAAAAAAAAAAAAAAAAAAAACTTTTTTAGATAATTATTTAATTTTTAAATATCTGTTTGAGTTATAGTTAACAATTATTAATTTATTAAGTTTAGTAATAATTTATTAAGTTTAATTAATTAATAATTCACTAAGTTTAACATGGTGTCAAAACAGAAAGAAAGAAAGAAAGAAAGGCAGAGGGAAAGAGGGAAAAAGGCTGGTGAGACAGAAAGAGGGGGAGAAAGAAGGGTAGTGAGATGAAGAGGAGGATAAAGAAGGTGGAAAATTGCAGAAGGTAGAGAAAGAAATGCAGTCAGGAGATAGAAAGAAGGGGAGTGAGATGCAGAAGGGGGAGAAAGAAGGGCAGTGAGATGGAGTGGAGTGGAGAAAGAAAGATGGTGAGAGAGAAAGAGAGGAAGAGTAGAAAAAGAAAGATGGTAAGATGGAGAGATAGAGAGAGAGGAAGAGTGGAGAAATTAAGAGGAAAAGAAGAGCAGAGTAATGGAGAAGACAGAAGACATTTTTAGATAAAAAATACAAGGAAAAAGTACAGAAAAAAATGAGTTGTCATTATTTTAAAAGCTTATGCTAAGACTATTTATTGATCTATTTTTGCAGAATTTTTGTCTCCTTCACTAAATTACTCAAATATTTCAACCTCATGTGCTTCCCCCCCTCTTGTTTATACTTCAATTGATATCAACAAATGAATAAAGACAGAAGCTCTTGAGACAGAATAATTTATTTGTTAGGAAATTGTATTAAAAACAAGAAAAACACAAATCTGCATTTTGTCATGAAATTACAGACATTGAACTAAGTTTTGCTTGATCTTTGTTTTTACTTGTAATTTGGGAAAAACCATAATTTCTTGTTTATACAATTATCTGCAAAATGTTAAAAATTCAATTGCTGTTTTGGAAAATAATAAATTTGAAATCAAATGCAACCAATTAACATATAAGTTACAATAATTTCATAATAATTTCATAAATTAATTATATAAGGTCAGTCTGGAAAATAACCAGTCATTTTGAATAGCTCAAAAACTGGTTGTGGAGCCTTGATGTAACTTGGCAACCAATCAAAGGGGGACCTTACTGTGCATGTGTACAGACACTTCTGTGGCAGGAGAGGAGGCTACTTTGTCAGCAGTAAAAATTCCATTGAGTGAGCTTGTGTACTGAACAAGTAGATTCTCTAGGTTTTGTGCAAGGTTTGTTTTTGACAAAACATCGCATCTGTCCAACACCCTATTTAACCTTTCTGATTTCTGTTAAAGGTTAAAAAAAAAATTGTTAAAAGACTGTGGATGAGATTAGGAGAATGCAATAAAACAGCTGATGGCAAGCCCAAAAGAGGATTTGCAGACTGTTTTGAAAAATAGAAGGAGCATTAGGATAAACATGAGAGGTGTAATGAGAGTACCTTGAAGATGACCCCAGTGTCATTGCACAAAAACATTGGTTAAATACTTCCAAAATTGACATTGTATATGTTAGAGGTTGTCATTTTACTTTTAACTAAGTTTATTGCTTAACTTGTTATATGACTATAAATGTTAAATTTAGTGGATACGCATATTTGACGAGATTTTTAATTTTTAACATCTAATATTTAATATTTCTGAGATGAGCTAGTGTAATTATTTACATTGTTTAGAATGTTGTCCTCATCTTTATTGCCATATTCACAACATTTTGGCTGCTGTAAACTCTGGCCTTCTTCAGATGATATACATCCCCAAGGACACGTGGCTCAGTGAATAAAAGCATTGGTTGAGTTACAGTAAAGTAACTTAACCAAAAAGAGTTGTGAATTCAATGCCTAGCCATGGCAGAGGCAACAAAAACAAAGAGTTGAGTTACTAAGATGAATTAACTGAAACTGATATCCAAAGGCATGCTATGTAGAATTAGAACAATCTACCCCCATGGATTAAACAAAGAATTTGGTTTGAAATTCCAACATACATCCCCTGAAGAAGGCTGGAGCATACAACGGCTGAAACATTGGGAATATGGCAATAAAGATGAGGACAACAGTTTGAATAATGTAAATAGTGTAAATATCTTTCATTTTCTTTTAAACAAAAACAAAAAGAAAATTTAATTGTTGTCTACTGGTCTGGGTTTTCTAAGTCTTTAAGAAAATGTGCCCTTCAAAAACCCAGGTTGATTGATGACAATTACACAAAAAACAAAAAATAGTTTCTACTCAAATATATGTATCCACACTAAATATAATGTTTATAATAAGAAATAATGTTGGATAATAATAAAAAAATATATATATATATATATATATATATATATATAAGTGAACATTGAAGTCAACACTTAGAGGCGACAGGCTGTTTCATGCTAGATGCAATCATCAGACCTGAGAATTTGCGTCTAGCATGAAACAGCCTGTCACCCTAAGTGTTGACTTCTATGTTGACTTTTATATTTACACAAGCTCTATCTCTTATAGTGAGCACTTTATCCCATAAATATAGCACATCTCAAGACTATATTTCTTCATATATATATATATATATATATATATATATATATATATATATATATATATATATATATATAACAACCAACAAAAAGCACCTAGGGAATCTGATCTAAATTGCATCCAAGTTTCATGCTAAGACAATCTGTTATACTTGACGTACCTATTCTATTATTAATGGACTCTCCCACTCATAATAAATAGTAGTAGTAGTAGTAGTATAGCGGCTGACAGTTGGGCTGAGTGGTGCTGAGCGAGTCAGTCGATATCGGACATTGAAGTACCAACCATCACAACTAGATTGCTGCGTTATTAACTCTTATTTCCAAGTTCCTAACGTTTTGTATGTCGAACCTAATTTAGGACGACTTATTGAAATACAAGCCTCCACTGTAAAAACTACTCTACAACACAATCATCAGACAGCATTGAACACTATAGTTTTTTTTTTGTTTTTTTTGCTTAGGTAGGTGTCTGTAATTTTCACATTGTTATGCTTTCTACTTTGGTAGGCTTAGTACTGGTCTGGTTTATATAAAAATTAATGAATTATGCATTTACACTTAACACACAGTTCATTTAAGAAACTATATTTTTTTTTTAAGAATTATGACAGAACAAAGTTTTTAAATTGACTGCACAAAAGTGATTTTTTTTTTTTTGTTTCAATTGAATCAATAAATTTAAAACAAAAACATTATTTAAAGAATGGCTGGCAAATTTCAATGAGTTCATGCATATCAGATTAATTAGAAAAAAAAACGAACAAAGAAAGATTCTGGTAAGGTGAAATGGATTCCTATTTCATGCCATCCACACTCCCCACCATCCAATGAAAGAAGGAAAGAGTAAGTGAAAGAAAATAAGGAAAGAAGAAGGAAGAATTAGTAAAAAGTATTTGAAAGAATATGTGTAATATATAGCTTTTCATAGGAAACTTCAGTTGCATCTATGGGATGCACAGATGGAAAAGTTACTGCATCCTTTAAGATGTTTAGGGATTAGGGATGACCTATAAAAAATCTTAAAGGATGCAGGAGATGCACTTATCAGCATCACTGTGTGTGTGTAATCATCACTTGATAAGACACCAAAAGTGTTGAAACAAAATGGCTATTTTGTAGTGATTTTATAACATATTTATGTTATAATTTTCAAATAAATATATATATATATATATATATATATATATATATATATATATATATACACACACACACAGATGATGTTTAGCCTAAGATAGGGCAAGCAAAAATAAAAAAATTGCCTTGGTGGAACCCTTAAAATTAAGGGTAATGCAGCAATATTTTTCTTGAAATTTCAACGACCAACTTATTAAGAAAAACGCAACATTTTTCGTTCTTAATTTAAAAAAAAAAAATTTGTTTTTGAAGGCCCAAATTTGTTTTTAAGGACACAGCACCATTAATACGGGCACTGCAACATTTTGCTATGGTGCTGCGGTCTAATCTTTTCCCTGTATGTATGTGTGCGCGCACATATGGGAAAAAAAGTAATTTTTATATATCAGAACAATGTTAGGAAAATCAATGACAAAGTGGAAAAAATTTATGTCCAGGTTCTTAGAATATTTCACTTTTCTTGTCAAATCATCTATTATCACAGTATATGATATTTATCATCTATATATATATATATATATATATATTATAAATTAATTGATTTAATGCTCTGTAAATTTACATTGAGCACTATTTTGTAAAAAATAAAATATCTATAAGAACACGGATTTTATATCTTACTGTTCTTTCTTTTTTATTTTATACATATATATATATATATATATATATATATATATATATATATATATATATATATATATATATATATATAATCTATTATCACAATATGTGATATTTATTAACAAAAGTGATAAAAACAAACAAAAAAAGAAATTAAATGAAATTGGCTAGATCATATACACAAATACATATGAAGAAAAATTTAAATTTCACTGTTCCCTCGTCTTTGTGCACATGTGTAGTTACATCAATGAAAACATCACTTTAGTCTGATGAAATCCTAAAGGACAAAATGCGTTACATGAAATTTTTTCTAATTTGTCATTGATTTTCCTTATGTTTTGAAAGAGAAATTTCTTATTTGCTAACTTTATATTTGTTGCTTTCATGAAGTTTCAAGATGTCAAGAGAATAAAATGATTGAAATTATGTAAGGAACCCAACAAAAATGATATCCCTCCTAATTTTTAAAACCACAAAACATTGTTGTCCTTAATCATATTCACTTTTGCCTTTAAATCTTTTTCATGCTCTCAGTAAAACAAAAAATTTATGCAAATAAAAATAAATAAAAACTAAAAACACAACCGGTTGTTACCAGAAATTCCCCAGGTGATTCTAAACCAATTGCCACAAAGGCAGAACTAATAAGAAATAGTTTTTTCACCTGGTCCAGGCCTGTAGAAGTAGCTTTGATGCATGGGTTTACAACAGTGGGCATGAAATTGTCAAACTTATGCGTGTCTTCACCGGGTTCTTGAATGACCTGAAAGGAACACACAACAAAAAAGTGACTGACACTGAGCTTTCATTAAAAGAAGCCATTTGAAACTCAGAAGATGGACACCATTGAATTGAAAGAATAAGAGATCAAAACCACTTTTTTTTTTTTTTATTCCTGGAGATAAAAAAAACTGTCAAATTCTTTTTTTTTCCTCTAAGTTAGTATATGTCAAAATGATAATTTCTTGTTGTTATTTTAAAAAAGAAAAAATTTAATTAATAGCTCAAACATAAAAAATTCAAAATAAGATATAATTAAATTGGGGGGGGGGGGTTAACAAGCTTACTGCCACATGTACACCTTGCATGTTACACATTGCCTGATGCACACATGTACATTGATTCCATGATGCACATATAAAACTGAGCATGATGCATAAACGGCATTATGAAGATAAAAAAAAAAAGCCAGTGTCAAGGACACAGCACTGCAACACCATTCTTTGTAAACAAAATAAAACTGAAATAATATTGTAGAGTAATTTTTATTGCGAACTAATAAAAATAGACAAAGCGTTTTGGTAGGACTCATATATCCAAAGTAACAGCGAATGGGTTGGGAGACATTTTTTTTTAAAACAGTTAATTATTTTGAAGTGATTGTATTTCATTATCTCTATTATAGTGAGTATCAGTCACTCCTGGGGGGACCATAGAGTCCACTATAGAATACAGCCAGCTAATCCCTCAGGCAGATGTCTGCTCAATAATGTTTCTTCAACAATCCACATATCCGACCAGTGGCTTATATTGCAACTATACTGAGTGAACCTTAATTACAGTTTCTGAGAAGAGTGCAAAATCAACAGTTTGAACAAGATCAGTATGCTCAAACCCTCAGCCACAATGACTTGTGCCTTTGTGCTAGCACAACCACCTGAACAGTTTTGTCTATCCAGTTTCACTCCCCAGACTTAGGTTAAACTGTGGCATGGTTTTCAGGGACTTCCAATGGTGCTGCATGCTTCCCATGCCAATATTAGCAAGAAGTTACCTTCTTGACAAATTGTCCCTAGTGAGATTTGAACTTAGTTCTCTTAGTCACAATGATAACATTCTAACTACTTGGCCATGCACTTATATCTTTATTATAAAAATTTATGTCCTTGGTAATTTTTGTCTTTTTGCTATCTCTTCTAAAACTTGCTCCATCATCGATTTACTCAAGCTTACTAGGTAGATTATAAGTTGTTTCCATCTGTCCCTCTTGCCTTCAATCTGTCCTGTGAGTATCAAATTTTCCAAGCCTTCTTTCCTTATTATTTAACCTAGAAATTTGTTCATATTCATGCTGTGTCGTTTCAGAAAGTTGATGATCATGGCTCTCCACGAGTTCCTGTCCTTGGTAGCTCTAATAATTTTTTTTCTTTTTGTTATCTCCCCTAAAATTTGCTTCACCATCCATTTACTTCACTTGGTAGGTTATAAGTTGCTTCCCTCTGTCCCTCTTGCTTTCAATCTGTCCTGTGACAGATTTATTTTAAATTGTGCCCTAGAAAGTTAAATTATCTCTTTCTGATAAGTATCCTTTTTGTTTTCATTTTCTCTAAATCTTTGTCATTGCTCATATATTCATTGTTTACAGAAAAATTTGATTGAGCATGAAATGCATAAGATTCCAAATGTCAAAGTCTGATTATTAGGAGGAAATGACTTGCATTTTAATTTGGTAGGTTTGTTTTATGGTACATCAACTTGCAGGCTATTTAATGCTGAATTCTGTCATTTTAATAAACAATAGATAGGAACTTAAAGTAGTGAAACAATTCAAATTACACACACACACACACACATATATAAAAGTGAACATTGAAGTCAACACTTAGAGGCGACAGTCTGTTTCTTGCTAGATGCAATTGCGTCTAGCATGAAACAGACTGTCGCCTCTAAGTGTTGACTTCAATGTTCACTTTTATATTTACACATGCCCTATCTCCGACATTGAGCACTTTATCCCATAAATATAGCACACACACACACACACATATATATATATATATATATATATATATATACACATACATACATACATACAATGAAAGGAGAGCTCTAGTTACAACCAGAGTTACACACTTACACCATCTTCAGATGTCTGAAGATCATAAAAGCATGAAACCCAGATTATGACTAGAGTCATCCTTGCATAGAATTTAACATTGTTAAGCATTTTTTGCCCTATCTAGGGAACTTAGACTTCAAGCACTTCTAATTAAATGAATGTAGAGATTTTATTTCGTAACTTGTATTTTATACACAGAAATAATATGGAGAAAAAGTATTGTAACTGTTTCAGGTTTTGAATTTGAGAATGTGCTAAAATATTTTAAAACAAAGAATGGTTTAAATTCCTTAGGAAAAAGTAAGACAACAAACATGAAGAAATCAATCTAAAACCAATCAAGCCATCATGTGTCATCCATAAATCCAAAGATATAGTCAAGTTCTTACAAAACAATTATACATCTATTAAGATTGTTTATAAGAAAAAAAAAAAAAATTATTGTAATTATTTCTATTATTATTATTATATTCGTAATGCATTGTGCCCAAATACAAATGCCAAGCAGATTATCAGCAAAGATCGCAAAGATCACAAAGAAAAAAAGCTTTTCATGCCAGTTGAAATATGAAAATTTATATGAAAACTTTGGCAAGAAAACTTATCTGATTTAATTGACAAAATAGAATCTAAAGAGATGATTTGTTCCTATAATTTAATGCAGTTTGAGATTTGCCAGATGTTTAAATTTGAATCTTTAAAAAATTTCTTAGATAAGGTTAAGGTTGGATTGTGACATTTTGGGTTAATGAAATGGAGGGGTCTCCTGCAAACAGAGCCATGCTCTAACTCACCTACACCTGTCTTGGATATTTTTTTTTTTTTCCTTGTGGTATTTTAGTGACATTTATATAGCTTGAAGTAAACTTATTGCAAGTTCTTTAAATAAACTAGAATAGCTATCTTTTGTTTGTCAATAAAGATATTCCTTAAGAAATACCATTATTTTATTGCAAACCAAATTGGCAAACTATCTGCTTCTATGACCACTAATATTTGGGAAATATGCAATTACCTCATCATAACAGAACACCAAGCAGTATAGTTATTTTATATAGCCAATATATTTACATGGAGTATGTGCTATATAATGTTTAGCACGTCATATGCTATTGCTAAGCAGTTCATTGTTCAATATGTACTTATATATCAGGTTTTGACAGTGCAGATTGTGTCAAGGTGATTAGTGCAGAATGTGGAATTGGTAAGCCAAATTTAAATTTCTTCCTACTCTGTGGGGTTTGCATTACATTATTCCCTTTGAGAAAAATATGAATTCAGCTATTCTCTACACCCATGTATGTGCATTAAATAGAAGTGTAGACTGGGCTCTCTAGTCTTGAATGGCAGCTAGTTTCAGAGGACAAATCTGAGCAGAAAGTAACAGGAAAGCACTCCTCTAGCTTTCCCAAGATGCCATGGTAATTCACACAGATTAAACAAAAGGAAGCTGTGGAGAACCATGAAAGCCAATGTTCAAAAGAGACATAACATTTTAATAACAAATATCTACATTGTTGGTGCTAGTGCTAATTATCTTTGACTCAAACATATATGGCGTGAGTGACTGTACAACCCTAAGTGTAAAAAGGGACACAATTATATAGGGTACCCTTAAACAAGTGGAGAGAAAAATGGTTGTGGGTGACATGGAGAAAAGAAAAGGACTTTTATGAGTCAATATTTATATTAATAAAATGTGTCACGTCTATAGGTGAATGTTTACCGAACCATGCTTATTTCCATATATTTTTTATTTACAACATTAAGAACGAATAAAGACGAAAAGGAAAACTTATCTTTGCCGACACATTTTGTCTTCTGAGGAACTTTATCAAGGCAAATTTAAGGGTTTAATTTTGTGATAAGTATTTGTATAGAAGTGAAAAAATGTTATATGGGTTTTCAAAATTTTTGGTGTAGGGGAGAGCTCATGAATATTCATCAGGTTAGCAGAAAAGTCAGGCAAGTTTATGGGCATGAGGTGATACAGTTCAATGCCTAATAAACAAAAGTGAGTAGGAGGTGTTTTTATTTTTTGGGGGTTTTTCATGTATGTATTGATATGTAAATTAGTATTTAAATTATTTTGGACACAACATTAAGAATCCTTTCAAATTTAGAAAACAAATGTCAATACCAAAAGAGTTAAACCGATTTTCATTAAAGCAAAATAGCATTTTTAAGTGCTCAGAGAAGGCAATTTCCTTTTCTTTTAATATGATTTGAGTGGTCATACAACCAAACACGCTTCCATTTCCTGCATGTAATGAAAATTTCTGTAGTTAATGATAGAAAAAAATAAAAATAAAAATAAAAATCACTGTTGTAGTGGGGGGGGGGGGGTGTAACTTTTCTTACATATATATATATATATATATATATATATATATATATATATATATAAATAAATCAGTGCTTTCATTTTTTTGCATAAAATGTGTCAACAATGTCATTTACTTTTATCAAATAATGATACTTGACATTGTTAAGTGATTATTGTTTATTTTTTACCTGAAATTATATGAAAATTTTCCAATACTGTTTTTAATAGAAACAAAAAAAAAAAAACATGCTTTCAAATCTTAAGGGTTAAATTTGTAAAAAAAAAAAAAAAAGAAAAAAAAAAAGAAAAGAAATGATTATCCTGATCCATATTGATAATTCAAATAAAAAAAATCTTAATTTGATTAATAATTTTGATAGGGTTGAGTCTCTATAGACCACTGCTTTGTAAACAAGTAGTGGTCACTCAGTCAATTGAGTGAATTTATCAATTCTTTGAATAAAGAATTATTCATGAAAGGAATCAATAACTTATTGCAAAAGTGTAATAAACATGCAAACTTGAAAAAACATACTTATTTTTATATTTTCTTTCTAAAGTACAGGGTTATTCCAAAAGTTTGCACTTTATTGTCATATACATTAGAAGCAAATTTGTTTATTAGATATATGTTAGAAGCAAATCTGTTTATTAACTTTAGTCAAAAACATTCATATGTACTGTTGGAGTAGTCAAATTAGTAAGTACTTCTGAAAAAATTCTAAAATCAATCTTATTTATTTATTGAGTCCAGAAAAGAAAATCTGTCTCATTTTCAGCATTTTATATGTAGGATTTCTGCAGTAAATAGAGAAAGTAATGCAATTGACTGAACATGTCAAAAATGGTTTGTGAAACTTCACAATGCTCTAGAGACAAGTAAAAGAGCTTAGGTTTATATAAACCAAATAACATTTTCAAAATTCTAAAATGATGTGATATTACCCCTAAATTTTGATACAGGGTGTGGCAGAAATACCTCCTACATAATAGTAAGACATTAGATAAAGACACCACTTCACTAATGTCTTGCCATTATGTGGGAGGTATTTCTGCCACACCGTGTATATTTAAAAAAAAAAAACAAAAAAAAAACAGCTTTATTTCTATTACATATAATGAACAAATGTATAAATAGGTCATGTGACTTTCAACTTGTAATAATTACTTTAACTGAACTGATCAGGAAAAAAATTCCCGTAAACATTTTCAAAATTTTTTTTTTTTTTTTAAACAAATTCCAACTTTTATTTTATTCACCTTTCCCAAAAACTGTTATTAAATGAAAAAAAAATCTTTAACAAATTGGTTGCCAGAGGTCAATTATGAAATCTGGCTTCAAACACAAACTTTATAATAGCCAACTTATGAGGCAATTAAATCTTTTAGGAATTGATTTATAGCTTCAACTAAAGTCTTAATATTGTTTTGCACTAAAAAGTACCACTGTGAATAAACTTGTTGTTGGCATGAGGGAACTCATCGTCTGGGTCATAAAAACTGCCAACACAGAGTTATCTTGTAGTTGGCAGTCAAATACATTCCATATAAATATATATATTATGAAGAAAATAACATATTAAAAATTTTTTTAAAAAGAGCTAAGCAAGCAAAAATAGATAAGTTAGAAGAGATGCAAAATTCAAGCAAATATTGAAAAAATGCACTCCAAGCATTAATCTACAGAATACATTATTTTAAAAGACAAATAAAAAAGCAAACAATATAGACAAAAAATGTTAGAGTGAATCACAAAAGCTACAACAGTAATATTAAGATAAAGCAATATGAAAAAGAGTGTTAGGGGGGAAAAAAAAGAGAAAGAAAATATTTAAAAGAATGAAAGGGAAAGAAAAAACATTAGCGGGATATTTTTTAAATAGATCAATAACACAAGATGAAATGCAAGACATGATCAGTATTGATAACCAAGGGGTCATTTTAAATTTCTAAACTGTCCTAGTTAAAAAAAAATTCTCTATTAAAACATTTATTTTGGCCCTTTGTACTCCATTGATTAGTTATTCTTGTCTAAGATTATTTCTTTACTTGCAAATTCCCTGTACAAATTTTTAGAAAACATTGATTCTTCACAACAATCACCCATCAGTCCAGTATGGGATTAAAACCTTTCAGGCAACCAGCATTTTCTTTGAGCCCTTCCTAAAGGCTATAGTACCAGAACCATAGCAAAAATTGTATGAAGCAATTCTTTTAAAAGAATGCAAAAGACTCAACTTGAATTAGTAAGTGAAAAGTAGCATTTTATGAGGTCTATTTAGAAAGTATCCGGTCATTTAATATATATGAATAGCTTACCTAAGACAATGGCACCTCAGTTCCTTTCAAAATACTCTCCTTAGGACTTCACATACTTATGCCAGCATTTTTTTCACTTTTCAAAATAGTTTGTTTTGGTTTGTTTGTTTAAAACTTAACGACCCATCGATCAGCAAGAGATCATTTAAGGTCAAACAGTTGTTTTTTTTTTTTTGTTTTTTTTCTTTAAATAAGGTTGAAATGCTTTCAAAAGACTTTCACTTTCCTTTCATTCTTTTTCGATGTTGTCTTGCTTTTTGTTTTTTTAAAAATTCACTGTTTTCAGAGGTACGTTCTTTGAAAATTTCTCACTTTTTTCCGACAAGTATCAAAAGGTTTCTCTTTTCATCATCAGACACCAAATTGGAATTATATTTTATTATATAGTCCAACTTTCCTAAGAAATGTCAAGATCAAATTGGGGTTTGATTTTTCGAAAAGTTCCAAAATAGTTTGTTATAAACACATGTATATAATAAGTACCGCTATTGTTGATACAGAGGATATGAGCGAAATGCGTATTTGTGGGCAAGGGAAGTAACTTGGAGGAAAGGAAGAGTTGGTAGATCCTGGAATGAGCTGGGTCAGTTGACCAAGGTCACTGGCAGTAATGTTGACATCTTGTCTAGTACAGTATCATGAGCAGTGTTCTTAAAAGCAGCTGTGGTGGATCATGACTCATCATTTTTTTTTTTTCATCTTTTTGTTTTGGCAGCAACATTTGTGATTAGTTCTTTTTATATTTTATTTTATATATTTTTTGCTTTGTGAGCCAGATGTGATGCTCAGAGCCTCTGCACAAAGAGAGACCTTTTTTTATATTCTTAACATTCAGAGTGAATCAGAAAGAGATCTAATTTGAAGCAGAGAATAATGCTACCTTATCCTGTTCTCCTTAATCTCGTCCCCAGTATTTCAAAGACAAGTTTCAATCTAAACTATAAGGTCTAAAAAAAAAAAAAATAACTGCACAAGACATGAAGAATCACCTACAATTGACTCTCTGCCCACTAATTTTTCATCTTTCAAACTGTAATTTTCAGTATGCCACATACCATAGCAATCATTTAGCGGTAAATTACTAATATTTTGATTGGTTATTTTTTTAATGCCATAATCCTTCAGGACATAAGCAATCATGGCTCTCCACAGATTTTCTTTATTATCTTTGAATTGCCATGTATCCTTAAAAAAGATAGTGGAGAGCTTCCTGTTGCCTTCTCCATGGTTTGAGTTCAGAATTTTTCTTTTCCTAGACTGTCAACCAAGGCTAGAAAGTTCAGTATACACTGCCATTTAACCCACAGGTATGGAGAGAAAATAAAATTTCATTGGCTTGTTTTAATAGCTTATCAACTCTTTCTGGGTTATTTAAAGCTGAAACATATTTTTGGATAGGAGGAATAATATTTTTTTTGTAAATATTGCATTAACAGTATTTTAAGATTAATAATGATATTTCCAGATATAAATCTACTATTTAACCCATAGCTGGAGAGAGGAGATGGAATTCATAACTTTCTCAAGAGTATTTGCACATTAAGTGAATGTAATCAAACAGAATGGGATTTGAACTCTGCTTTCCAATTTCTCATTCCAAGCCACTATCCATTACACCACCAGCACATCCACCTTTTTCTCAAGGGATTTAGTAAACACAACTTACAAATCTATAATTTCAGCCCTAATTACCGATTCCTCTTTTTTCATGGATACCTATTATGCTACTCACATCTGTTTTTACGTTTTAATCACTGTCAAGTAAGTGAATTTTCTTATGGAATTACTGTTAATGCTAGCCTGTAGAATATCGACATTACTTCTAAATTTGTGGGCACAATACTACATACAATATTTTGCATTATATACATATAAATAAGACTAACTCTAAAAATTGTTAAAAACTGGTAACACTGATCTTTGCTTGACATTCCCAGCATGCATTATTGTCCTATTGAAAAAACAAGATTTTCCAAGTTCGGTGAAGCATCATACCACAGAATCACTATCACCGAGCTCCCACAGCAATTCAGTAGTAGCAGAAAACCCAAGATTGTCCACACCAGAGGTAGCAGTAGAAGTAGTAGGTGGTACACCCTGCGGTCGTACTATTGTAGGAATGAGGCTATCAAAGCGTGTTGTGTCTTTACCCGGTTCTTCCATAACCTGCTCAAAATAGTGTCATTGAAAAATATATTTATATTGGAAAATGTTTGAAAAAGTGTTTAAAAAATAAACAGGCAGGGAAAAAAAAATTAGATTATTTTAAACAATGTGCAAGAAATATCAGCAAGATAGCATTTTCAATGGTGCAAGGGTGTAGGTTAAATGCTTTCAGAAGAAATTGATGCAGTGGCTATTTCTTATAAATGAAGAACAAGGCCAAACATACAAATGCAACTTCATTAAACATTAAGAATTCTTTCATGCGATAATAAGATTAGAAAAAATTTAAAATTTTTAAGTCTTCAAATAAATGAGATCTCTAGGCAACATATTCACCATCTTATTTGTCTCTACAACATTTAAGAATTATTTTTGCCTTACAGCTTCCTGTGACAGTTCACTAATTCATAAAGCCAGACTATTAGACTGTTAGAAAGAGAAGAAGAAAAAAAAAAGTGGTGTGTTTTACACAACAAACACTTGTTATAATTCTGTAACATTATTTTTACATGTTCAAGACTATATGATTTAAATTAGTAAACAAGTTAAATAATAAGTGACAATCTTGAGAATGCAAAAATACTTCTATAGAATTATAACAGCTATTTGCTGTGTAAACCCCTTTTTATTACTGAATCGTCTTTTCAGAGAATGGACGAGTCGTCTTCTCAGAGAATTAGCAAATCATCTTCTCAAAGAATGACTGAATTATTGTTCAAGTTTTATTGTAATTTTGCATTTTAGTTGAAAATTTAAACAATTTATATTTGTATTTGAATTATTATTACTTCTTAAATTAAATTTACATTTCATCCATTTATTTATTTGATAAATATTTTATGATACTTTATTGGTAAATAAATACATGCCAAATTTACTTTGTTATTAAATTAATATAAGCTCTTTGTCATTTCTTTTTCTATAACTTTCCTCCAAAATAATTTGCACGTAATATGGATAACATTATATTTCATATAGTGTAATAAAATTGGATCAAAATAGTATAGAAAAGTTGACTGCTTCAATGCTTCAGAATATATCATTTCAGAGAGCTTTTTAAAACTAAAACTATTTTGCAAATATCTGTTGTGAATTTATTAAGTAATTTAATTAAAGAAATTGAGTCCTTATAGTAAAAAGGAATTCAAAGGGAATAACTGGAAATTAATAAATTACCAATATATATCTCAAATATGTGGTGCAGTTCAATTTACATTACATGAATCATTCATACAAAAAACAGGGATCATAACATTCATATATAGGTTCGGGGTTAATGTACTTTATTAAATTTGTTTGCGAAGATGTATTCTTGCCATTTCAATCATTAACTTCTCTATCTGTTTTTTGTATGAATGATTCAAGTAATATATATAATTTAGGCAGTATATTTTCATTCAAGCATGTTTAGTTAAATAATTTAGATGTATTATATCTATTTATTTTAGTTTTAATCCTTTCAAATCCACAAATTAATTTTTTGGTGGCTGTAGAAAATTCATCAAGAAAAATTCCAAAATCTTCTTTCAAATAATTTTTTTATTTTCCCAAGTAATATATATATATATATATATATATATATATATATATATATATATATATATATATATATAGTTTATGAAAAACTAGGTAATCCGTATGGGTAAACCTAAGGAGGATAAATCCAGAGAGCTCAATGTAAATCCAGAGCAAATAATTTAAATAAAACAGACCACTTTAAGGTTCCATGTAATAAATAATGTAATTTATTACATGGAACCTTAAAAGTGTTCTGTTTTATTTAAAATATATATATATATATATATATATATATATATATATTTAAAGAATTAAATAGATTTTTTTAAACCAACATTTTTGTTACTTCAAAGTTGTTATCCTAGACACTTCTTATTTGAAATTGATGCCCCCATCTTTATTTATTAAACAGTATTTTTATTACTTCAAATGTTTATTTTTAGTGGATAGCCATATTTGAGTAGATCCTATTTTTTTCTTTTTTTAAGAAAACAAAAAAACAATGCTTATTTTGTTAACCAGACTGCACACTCTACTTGAGAAAACATAAGAAAATGTGTCCTTTGTTTTACAGCTATCTTTTATTAAAAGTGTCCACTAGAATAACATTTGAAGTTATATACACTTACAGTTAGAAAGTTTGAAGTCACCCTCAGAATTAGCATGGGATGAACTTGACAGAAGAGTGGGGGGGAAAAAAAGAGCTCTTAGAGTCATTGAAAAAAAGAATGGAATCAATTATCAAACTTATACTTTGAGAAACTTTTGCAACAAATGCCAAAGATTTGTGCTGCAGTAATCAAGGCTAAAGGAGGCTATTTTGACAAGAGCAAAATTTAACAAAATGCTTTTTTCTTTTTTGTCATAATAAAATTTCTAATAAAAAATCATGTCTCACGTTTTTTTAACCGTGTTTAATAATTTTCGCTTATTTAAAGTATAAAACAACAACTTTTTGGTCCAATATGAAAAATTACCAGGAGTCTGCTCAAACTTTTGAACTGTAGTGTGTGCGTATATATATATATATATATATATATATATATATTTGTCCATTTATTCACAAGACAATAAACTAAAAATTAATTAATATCTAACTTCCAAATAAATTCAAATAAGCTTATGTCAAACTTTTTCATTTAAGAAAGGTAAATTCAAAATGTCTTTTAGTAAAATATACAATATATGAAAATAAACCAAAAATACTTCTTCCATTTGATTAATGAATTTCAGAATCAAAATAAAAGAGATAAGTAAACATTTTATTTATTTATTATTACTTTTCATTTCATGTCTGGCCTGCTACTGGTAACATAGTACAATATATATATATATATATATATATATATATATATATATATATATGGATGGAGTCTCAAGCCTTGTATTGCAACCTTTCTAGAAATAGCGTTTCACTAAAAACACTCTTGGACCACTGCGAGTATCCGAGTTGTGCATCAGGAAGAGCATCCAATCTTGAAAAACCTTGCCTGAAATCACTGTGACAAATCATTTGTCAAGCAGGACACACCTTGTTTTGTGTGAGATGAATCCTGGTCCTTCCTTAACAAACAAACAAATATGGCTATGTCATGTCTCTATCCTTTGTTATGGAGCACCATAATTAGAAAAATCTTTTTGCCTAAAATACATTACCTTTCAGAAATATACTGGTTGATTTTGATTCTTTTTTTTTTTTCTTTTTTTTAGCAAAACCTGCTGTCATATATATGTAAATAAAAGGTGTGGACCCATGGTAAGTAAATTAAAATTAGCAGAGAAAAAGAATAAGCTTAATATAATAAAGCCACCATAAAAATTAGATAAAAACCATATTTTAAAAAAATTGCAGATTAAAGATGCAGCAGTAGTAGTAGTAACAGTTGTAGTAGCAGTAATAATAGTAATGCCAATAGTAGCAGGATTAATTCATTGAAACAACCATAAAAATTAATAGATTAGACTATCAAATGCACAGTATGTCATGTCAAAAAAAAGTAATAAAGATAATAATAACAAAAAATAATAGTGTAATATATAGTACACAATATGAAAGCTATACAGTATGTCAATATAACAATATACATACCAATGCAGATTCAAAATCAGCTAAAGAAAATCAGGTATTAATATACATATGTATACATTATTGAACAGATGCAAGTAGAGACAAATATATTAGTAAAATGAAACAAAACAAAATAAAAAAAAGCTTAGTAATAGTAAAAAAACATACAATCACATAAAAAAATGATTGGAAACACTGACATTTGCATGGGTTATAGTGTGTTTCATACATTTTTTTCTAACAAAATGAACTGGTTGAAAAAAAAAAAAAGAAAAGAGTTTTCCTTTTATCTTTCTTTGCTGACAAGGCAAGTTTATATATATACAAGGACATACTTAAAAAAAAATTCTCAACCTGATCAAGACCTAAAGAGAAAAAGAGAAAAAAAAAAAAAAAATCAAGTGTATTGCTTTTTGGAAGTGGGTTGAACTGTCAACTTTTCAGACCTCCACCATATATATGTGAAAATGTCTTAGTTGAATCAAGAAGTCCTTCAAAAATTAGTTTGGTCAGATTTTGGGAAATGACTCATGCTGACAACCTTTCAACACCTCCTCATATATATGTGAAAATTTCTTGGTTCATTGAGAAAGTCCTTTAAAAAAAAAAAACAAAAAAAACACCTCTTCATATATAAAGTGGACACTGAGGTTGACACCAAATGGCAATAGTTATGTTTCATCTATGGCCTGAAGATTGCATTCAAGCATGAAACAGATTGTCACCACTCAATATTGACCTCAGTGTCCACTTTTATATTTACATACACTATCTCTGATATTCAGCACTTTTACCTATAAATATAGCCTACTGTAAAACCATATTTTTATCATATCTTATATACACATATAGTACTCTAAACATTATTTTAGTGGATAAATATGTTTCGGTGGACTACGTGGATTATGTCTAACAGGCTGCACATTCAACAGATATAAAGAAAAAGAGATTATGTAGTTTTGAGCCCTTCCAGAGAGCACATTTTTCTTCATTAAGTCTCTTGAATACACAAACTGGTAGATGTAATTCACACTGTTTAAAAAAAAAACAAGGTGTCTACTCAAACATATATCCACCAAATTGTTTATATTAGTTCAAAAGTTATTGAGGAAAAACAAAATATAGCATGTTTGAAGGAAATAAAATAAATATATCTTATACTTACTTCAATCAAATAAACTAAAGGTATTCTGAATGTAAAAAGCAAAGATTTCTTAAGTCAACTACACCAGTAAATTACTATAAACCCAAACTGACACTAAAAGTCTTTGCTCCCAGTGGAACGAGATTTGAGATAGTTCTCCAGTTCTTGGTGAGGGATGTTGATAAAATATGCCTTAAGTAAAGATTGTCATGGAATAATAAGAAATAATGTTGGATTAAAAATAAAACCCATTAATTCTTTCTATGAGTG